AGCTTCGTGTGGATACAAGTTAGTTTGAAGTTGTGATTTGTAGAAATTATACTTGTATACATATGGATTTTCCGTTTTTTCTGTTATCTCACCAACATATTTATTGTTGATGATTACGAAACAGCATGACATAATTTTTGTCGTTAATTTTTACCGTCAAATCTATTTTGACTGCCAATCAACTGTCACGCTATGTCGGAGGCTCCCTCGGCCAGAACAGGAACTCAACACGTGTGCAATTGATATCCGTCGTGCGATATCCTAATCGAATCTCTGCTGCCAGACTGCTGGCATACTGCTAACAGCACTGCTAACATTTTGCTTACTAGGGGAGTAGCGACGTAAGAAAGAAAGAGAACTGTGGCGCTGTGAACCGCGAGTGCGGCAAACTGGTCCACAGAGATATACCGAGATGAAATCACGAGTAGGTTTCTGCGGATCATGCGAGCCTGTTCGGTACATGCTAAAGATCATCTCAAGAAACAATCCAGTCCGCCAGCATCTTGATCATTTCTCCTCCTGCCCCTGTCATTCGATATTGCGCGAGCTATTTGCAATGAGGTATCTATGGCAGAAAGCCAGAATGTCACTTGAAAAGAAAAAAACATACGAAGATTCAGTTCGCATTCTCGCAAACGTCATTATTACTGCACAATAAATATTAGATCATTCATAAATGTATTGGTATATATAACCGATGAATTTAATCTCAAGCACAGTCACAGTTCTCTGAAATACACGTTCTTATTATACGCAAATCCAAGATTATTAAATTCATTATTAAATGATTCGTTATTTATTTACACAGTCGCACTTCTATCAAGCAGGACTAATAATTTTACATTTGCAGTAATACCCAACATTAGGCGTTGGTTTAATGAGTCGATATGATATGAAAGTGAACGCGACGTGTACTCGAAATGTCACAAGCGACGGTCATTGCGCCACTCCCGTGGCGCGCCGCGGCAACGGAACCGGCTTAAACTCTTCGTCATGCTACCAGCCGGATCGGTCTGAAGCACGAAAGTGAGTGGTGAACAAATGGTAGATCGACAGCGGCAACGTGGTATCAACTAAGAAAACGAATCGCTTCGGCCTCGTCGAGTTCACCCTCCGTGATGTCCCGTGAAAAATATGCCTTTTCTCCGGACACTCCTCGATATCGATTCCCGTGCCATTCGCTTCTCGTGTCGTTTCTCGAGGCTTGCGCCTTGTATCCTGCGTGTTGGAGAATAACCGGAGATTTAAGGTAGCCTGATATTTTTAGGAAAGAGACTCTACTGCTCGTCGATTCAGAGCGAGGCCGAGAAGAGCACCCTCCAAATTGGATTTAAAGCAGCAAAGGCTAAATACCGCGCTTCACATGGAATAACTTGCAATAACGTTATCCAAGTAGCATTGTTACTTGTGTAATCCTTATAAATACTTTCGTATTTATATGGAGCCAGGATTACATTATGCTTATAAAATTGAGAAACGTTTGTATTTTTATCATTAGAATAAAAACTCACAGGATGGTGTTATAATCCAACATAAAACGTGCAAAAATCATGTATCTATTGTAAAATATATTATTCGTTACCTTTGTACAAGAAGTTATCCTGACACGTGTGGACAATATAATTAAGAAGACATTTTTTTGTAGAAACGTTTGTATTTTTATCATTAGAATAAAAACTCACAGGATGGTGTTATAATCCAACATAAAACGTGCAAAAATCATGTATCTATTGTAAAATATATTATTCGTTACCTTTGTATAAGAAGTTATCTTGACACGTGTGGACAATATAATTAAGAAGACATTTTTTTTATCATATGCGTCTCGATTCTCCGCCATGCATTCAGTATCGTTCCTTGAGCCTATATCCTTGCTCTACGTTCGAGAATAATCAGAAATTCATGGTAGCCTGATATCTTGGGAAAGCGAACTCTCCTCTCTATTGATTGCGAACAAAGGTGGGACAAAAAGAGCGCCCTTAAAATTAGTTTTAAAAGGATGGTCGTCGCGCTTGATACGGAACATATGTAATTTATAAGTAGCATTGTACAAGTAACATCATACTCGTATAAATAATGTCGTTATCTGAAGTGTAAAAGCAGAATATATTACGCTTATAGAAATAAAACGCTTGTATTTTTATCGCTAGATAACTGCACAGAATGGTGTTAATAAAACATTAATATAATGCGCTAATATCTTATATTATAAAATATAATTTGTTACTTTTTTACGAGACATTGTTTTGACATACGAGAAGAATGTAGTAGTTGAAAATAACATATTTATACATTTATTTTTATCATCTTTGTTCTTTTATTATTATATTTTAATTATTATAGATATATTACACATTTTTGTGGCTATTACTTAAAATATTTTAAAAATATTTATTATTAATTGCATTTTTACATTTATCACATTATGTGTTGTGCTTTAATACCTCGACGTAGCTTAGAAAAGATTGCAAAGCTATACAAATAAATAGATTTATGTTTATATTTATCGCACAATTAATCGACAGTTATACAACACGCAATCTATGAAACATTTTACCATTTATGAAAAAGTTATATATAGCTTTAATTATATTTATGATTATCATAAATATCATGTTAAATCCATTTTAATTTAAATCATTTGCTTTCTTTTGTCTTTAATGAGAAATAATGCGATACAATGCTTCACCATGTGTGAGACAATATTCTTCTTCATTCCTCCCATATAATAAAAAATATGTTATAGAAAAAAAAATGTTATCCTACATTTGAAATTATTTTATTGACGATTAAGCTCCACGTGCAATATCCAATTGTGCGCAACACAACGGAATTTCTTTTCTCCGACGGCAGTTGTCTTTCGAACAACTGGAAGAAATAAGGGATAAGGGGAGTTTCGCGAATGCCTAATGGGACGAAAGGGGTGAGGCGGCGTGACCTTTACAGTGCACGGGAAATTTACAGGGAAAATTACCTGAGCTGAAAATTGTAAGGTTACATCGGAGTAAAACTTTCCTACTGCACGCTCCTACTTCCCTAGTAATATATTTAATATTACTTGATGTTTACGTTAAATTATTAAATTAAACAATACGCTGACCCGGTTACGATGCATTAATGATAAAATGCGCGAGGGGGTGGGTACATGATCCTGTCCCGAATTATATTCGATCCGTTCTCCACACACACATTCGCCCACGAAATTGATCCTTCCATCGCGAGCGGCGGAACGCGAACGGCGTCCTTCCAACCGCGTTTTGCCCAGGTAGACGCGGACTCTCGATGACGCGAGAAAAAAAAAAGATAAATGAAAGGAAGGAGAAAAAGGCACGAGCGTGTTTAATCGATTGGTCGTATACTACTTGGAAGACGCCGGTGAAGGTTCAATATACAAGTAACGATCAAAACGTGCGTTTCGGGACGATCAAGCTCCAAGTTCGATATGCTTTCCTGGTATACGAGCACCACTTAGCACACCCTCTGGATTCCCATGGGACGTGTACTACACGTAATGGAAATCAAACTAGTTTCCGGTCAATAAAGTCACGTCACATTGCTCACGTTGTTCATTGTATAGAGTCGTAAGACTCTAAAAACGTCGTACATCATGAATATATTGCTGAAACGTTTAAGTATACGAAACTCTTCAGTTTGCCAGATACTCGCATTTATAAATCACTTCTCTCATGGATTATCAATTCAATTTTTTCGACTTGGTGAATTTCACCGTTGCTCTAGATGCGAACTGCTATAATTAATTCCTGATTATTAGGATTCCGAAATAACAGCTTGTGTTTTTATTTTGTTTTGTTTCGACTTAATGCTTTTTGGTACGCGCATTTAATGCATAAAATCCATTTTAAACAATATATAATTCCTGTCAGGATTCACACAATAGAATTCTATTTATAATTTTATGCGACTTGTAATGCGGAAAAATTTGAAGAATCAGAATGCAAAAATATATAAAATAACAAGTATCTCACACATATATTCAATTAAAATATACGACATGCAGGGGATGTACAATTATGAATAGAATTCTAGTTCCAAAATCTAATGTAAATTATAGATTGTATAAAGTGCACTTCAAAATACATATGTATGTATTACGATTAATTTCGACGAAGGTGCATCCCTAATTTCCAGACTTGACAGACGAAAAATCCTCCTAAGTCTCCGTTTTATTGAATCATGATATATAAATATACTGTAGCTACACAAAGCTGTTATAACGTAGTCATTAATTTAGAGACTTCTGTCAAACAAATCATTTATTTTTATTTAAATCTTATTATTTAATAGAACATTTTTATCAATAGATACACTTGCATGTGTATAATCGTACGCTTTATCTGGAGTAACTCTCTCTTTTACAAAATCAGATAAAAATTCTTCAAAAATCTATTTCGGTGAATTTACAATTACAACTAAATATGATTTATGATAATTATTTCGTGTTCTAAATTATACGTCGTTTATACATATGTAAGGCTTGCCTTATATTTTGTAAATAAGTTTTGGACAAAAATAAATAATGTGTGTACATAGTATAAATATATAGATACGCGAATATTTAATAATAACAATAATAGATATATACATATATAGGTATATATGATAGGATTGATCAGTACAAATTAGAAATAGCCTTATAGATGGGGGCGTAGCTCAGATGGTAGAGCGCTCGCTTAGCATGCGAGAGGTACCGGGATCGATACCCGGCGCCTCCAACTCTTTTTTTTTTAATTTACTATTTTATTATATTAGAATTGTAACAGATTTACAGTATAAATGTTACTCTGTACAGTTTTTCATTATTTAAATTTATTATTTGTTAATTAAGATATATCTCTAAATTCTTACTTTAGTATACAAGTTACATTTCTTTACACCATTCTTCCATCCTTCTTTAATATCTGTTATATCTATTTCCCGTTTTGCAATTCAACTTATTTTATTAAAAATGTCAGTTGAGGAATGAAACGCATTTGCTGCAGGATTAACGAAAGCCGATATCAGCACACTGCCGAAGCCGGAGCATAATTATAATGGGGCCGAGAGATTATATTGTCCAGTGAACGCTTATGCCGAGAATCAACCGGTCAATCGACACGACAGTTCTCTGCGACTGAGACAACTGAGATCCGAGATGGTTCGGGTGGCGGCAGTTCAAGGGCCACCTCTCGATGGTTACATCGTCACGTCGGACGACGAGCATCAAGTGAGTTATACCGTCGAAATTAACTCCACTCGATATTGACGATCATGACTTATCTGTCCAAAAGTCTATTCGTATCTTGATAATTGGCGTATCATTGGCGTATTGGTAGATTAGTTTCAATTAAAAAAAAAAAGCATTGGATATCACGATATCATGATCTGATGGTTTGCGTTCTTCATTTATCATTAAAATACCAAAGAACGTAAAGATGTAAAGAATAAAAAAATGTAAAGAAAATCAATGTATAAGTATTATTAAAATTGTGTAATCACTTCTTGAAAAACAAATAATTTACTATCGATTATTTCGCTACTATCTCGCTACTTGCATTATAAGAGATCAAGTCTGTAATTTTATTTTCATCAAATTATCTAGCCGATTGATAGCGATGTTGATATGTCCGCATTGATCTAAATCAATTTATGCTTAATGTTGTTCCTCTCATTATATGCTTAAATTTTCAGACAGTGAGCTTCGTTTCTCATGGCCGCGATGGCCCTTTAGAGGTATATTCGCGTGGTGTAGCATATTTGAAAGCTTCTCTTAGTATAAAAAATAACATTTTGCATAATTACTTTGGCTGATACGCTATAAACGGCCATTCCGTATTTACTAAAATTTTTTTAATGAGTTTTATTCTTTATTTTGAGTGCAGTGTCCAGTCTTTTGACTCCATGTTTTCCAACATTTCACTAATTTTAAAATTTAACAAAATGAGAAAAATATTTTAGGTGTGTATCGAACAATAAAATTTAAAACTTAAAAATACACTTTACATGTATACCTGTTATAATTACTTTTAATTTTCGACGGTGAAGTGATTGGGGGACATCAATTTCAGTTGAAACATTATAGCTTTAGCATATTTTAATGCTCATTGAGCATGAAAATTCTTTTTCGAACTACTTCAATTAATATAAATAATAAATTGATATTAATATTAATAGCTCCCGGTTGTTAATATTAATATCAATTTATTATTCTTTTATTAATAAAACAAATCGTTCTTTTCACCTAGAGCGAGGCCGTGGATCCACACGATATGAGAAGAGAATTTCTTACTGGATTCTATGGAAGTGCTGGAGAAGCTATAGTAACTATTGATAAGGCAGTACTTTGGACTGATGGTCGATACCATATTCAAGCAAACCATCAGCTGGATTGCAACTGGATTTTAATGAAGCGAGGTGAACGCGACGTGCGTAAATTGATTCAAATATTTTCATTATCTTGTATCGAACAAAGTCTTTATTCTATATTTACAAGTCTTTATTCTATATTTACAAGTCTTTATTCTATATTTACATGCTTGATCGTCGGTTTATTATTTATGTACTTATTATTTTTGCAGTACGCGTTATATTTTCTGTCTCTATAAGTCGTTAATGAAATAATCTAAATTACCCATCACAATAGATGCCCAACTTCTTTCTAGTTAAATCTAAATAAATTCGTCTTTAATGCTCTTATTATTAATAACAACGATTTATATACAATCCATTAATAAGATCTGAAGACAACAATAAAATTCAGAATAATAATAAATATAATATAGTTAGAGTAAATATATATAGCATATTTACTCGAAATTTTATTAGAACATTTTAATAATTAAACCATTAAAAATAAGAGTATAAAAATAAATTAAATAATTTTTTTATCCAACAAATTTAATTTGTACTAATATTAACAACCTGGTAAAAAAATGTATATAAAAATATGTATAAATATATATATTGTAAAATATGTTCAATATATCTGTGTTTTCTCTCTTTTGCATAGTCTCTCCGTATATAGGAAAAATAATAGAAAGAATAATTGAATAAATAATTTTTGCATTGTTTTTTTTACAAAAGTAAAATTGCGAAATCATACTTTACATTTATATATGATGAATCTTTTCTCATTTCCTGAACCTTTACTTTTTATAAAAAACACAATGCTATTAATTACTATTTTTTAAATTACTTTTTAATTCTTCTTGTTATTAGTATTTTTCCTGTATGTACGAATAGAGATTATAAGAAAAAGAAAACATCTCTATATATGGGTATATATGTATGTATAATTATATATAATTATATATAATTATATATAATTATACACGAAAAAAAATAAAGTTGCTTCAATTAAACGTCGACGTCACGGGCTGCCACAAGCGTACATAATTAATTCAATTGGATATTATTGGACCGAATATTTAAATTATTAAAACAATTATCTGATGTTTTTTGTTCATTAATATTGATGTTGCATCAATAAATTTTATCTCAATAACACTGATGCTATTGATACATCATTTTTTTTCCGTGTATGTACATACATATTTATATGTATGTATAAATTTTTATATGAAAAATTGTTTACCGAGACTACTTTCTGCTATCGTTTATTCTTGTCTCGATAGGTAACCTCATCGGTCCCCAGATGGCGATACCGTCTGGATTTAGAGCCAGACTGTTACAACTATCACTCTCTCGCAAATTTAATTTCTCTGCAGTCTACTAGAGGGCTACGTTAAAGATCATTTTCTCGTGTTTAAAATTCTATCACAATGCTATATCTAGCCATGCTTGAGCGGTGAAATTTTAAGATCATACTTCACAGGATCAGTTCTGTAGGAGTTGATCTCATTCTCCCTCCCTAACATGGGAGTTGATGTAACCATGAAGATGAGGAATAGTCCTCTTCTCTGAGCGTGAGAACGACACGAATTCCCGACTCGTTTCGAGAATTCTGTCATCGATGATCGTTCGCCCTTCGCACCTAGTGCGAAGGGGGTGGGAAGAAGGACTTTCTGAGTGGTTACCTTTTTAAATAATAACAAAAATAATAAGTTTATTCTATATTGCCGCCCTGGTAAACAATATACCAGGGCTACGTGGTCCGCGATATTCACTGCCAGTAGTGAAAATCTGTAATATACGTGACGTAAACTATAGATTTTAGTCTAACAGAACATAACTTCTTGCGCTGGAGTAAACGACGTGCGTAGCACAATCGATTGATATTTATTTCGAACGTAGGAATTATGCGTATAGCACGTCGTCTGTTTTGCTACAGTTTTATATACATTGTGGTGTTATTAGTAAACAAGTACAAATTATTATATAAATAAAATAAATTTTTTTATAAAGTATTTATGTATTAATGTGGTTATGAACTTGTATTGTACAAAACAGTCTATTTCAATTTTTTCGAGAAATAATTTTAAGTCAAATAATATAAAATAATAATAATAAATTAGCATTTTGCTGCAAATTGTTTTGGATGGATTGGATTACACGTCTGTGAATTATCAGCGCAAGAGATCAAAACAAAGCTCAACTAAAATTAGATTTACGATTAAAAAGGAGAAAAACATCATTTAATATTTAAATGGTGAAAGGATTCTATTTGACATTACGAATATTTTAAAAGAATCTATCTCCATCAACGTGTTAATGAGAATTTATAAACAAACACTGAATAAAAAATTGCAGATGTATTTTGTAATATTTTTAATATCGCAACACATTCTTAACATTTAATTAACTATTTCTGTTTAATGTTTAGGTGCCAACGATAACAGAATGGTTAATACAAGAGTTCGAAAATCGATCGGAAGTACGTATTGGTGCCAATCCGAAATTAATACCCGCATTTACGTGGGAGATATGGGAGGACGAATTGGGTAACGAGAAACATTATATCGAGCATTTCTTTATCGCGATATTGTTCAAATATAAATCTTACACATTTTTATTGTCGAAGAAGATAGTTTGTACGTCAATATAAAAATCTATATATTTTTATTATGTACAAGAATTTTGCTCTAATTAATTATAAAATGAATACTTTTCGGTTCAAAAGTTTCACTTTCAAGTCTCGAAACAAGTCCTATCAAAGTAGTATCGTTCTGTGCGAGGTCGAGGAGCGGCCGAAAAAGCCGAATCCGACCTTCTTTCACTTTCAACTAACAATCCTATTCGTGTTCAGCGAATTCGCCCGTAAGATTGGTCGGGGTCCGTAACGACCTGGTGGACTTGATCTGGCAGGTGGGCCGGCCTGAGTACAATCCGCACGCGGCGTACCCGCTGGCGGACGGGTACTCCGGCAAACCGTGGCAGGAGAAGGTCCGGAGTATCCGGCTGGAAATGGAGCTCACGTCGGCCGACGCGCTCGTCGTCACCGCCCTGGACGAGATAGCGTGGCTCTTCAACGTCCGCGGCTACGATCTGCCGCACACGCCCGTCCTCCGGGCATACGCGATCGTCGCCCACGGTGACCTGCATCTCTACGCGCCGCGTCACAAGATCCTGCGATCCGTCGACATACATTTGAAAGTCGATTCCTGCTCCCACGCGAACTGCGTCAAGTGAGTGACGAGTAGAGCCCTGGAAATTATACGGCGTCGAGAGAGAAACTCCTATCAAATTAAGATAAAAAGATGGGACACGATATAGACCAAGCGGGACTTCTATTACAGAAGTAGAGCTCGCAGGATTCGGTTTCACTTTGAATTTTAAAGAAAGTAAAAGAGCTTAGTTTCAAACAGTTATACAAACTCTAAATATTTCTGAGTTCTATAAATTGTATAAGAATTAATATAACGACTAATAAGACCAAGCAGACTTGCATAATAACCGGCTTTTTATCGTTGCAGATGGCACAATTACACAGACATTTGGTACGATTTGAAGACCATGTCGCAAGTTTGGAATACAGTTTGGCTCCCGTCGCCGTGCGGCTACTCGCCGGGTGCGTCCAAAGAAATATACAATTCCGTAAGTGTGACCGCGGAGATGACAGTTTTGCGGATATTTGGAACTTGAGAATACGTATAATACGTGATCTTCCTTCGAATAAGCGATTCTTCAACATAAATACCCTACTTCAAGTTTGTTATCGAGCTTGAGCTGTCTAGATTAATATTATTTTTAGTCCAAAACCTTCCGAATATAAGAAATCGCTTTCTCTTACAAACAATGATTGTAAAGACTATAATTAGCCTTAATTTATTGTCTAATTCGATATTATATAAATCAATAAAAGAAATTATATGTCAACGGATTAATTTTTTGAGAAAATGGATATAGGAAATCGAATCGAGTGAAAATATCTAGATAAATACAGCTAACACATAAAAATCTTTTTTTACAGATTCCACCGGAGAAAAGGCTGGCTAAGGCCTCGCCTATAATCGATTTAAGAGCAAAGAAAAACAAAGTCGAAGCGGCAGGTATGAGAAGCTCTCATCTGCGGGACGCGATCGCCATGTGTGATTTCCTGGCTTACATGGAAGAGCAGTACAAATTCGACTCCGAAGGATGGGACGAGATGCAAGTGGCGAGGGTGATTAATGAAATTCGTTATGAGCAGGGTGGCAATAGGGGTATCGCTTTCCCGACGATCGCGGGATACGGGCCGCACGCCGCTATGCCGCATTACGAGCCGAATAACTTGACAAACATTAAAATCGGGACCACGTCCACATTAATGATCGACTCTGGAGGACAATACTTGGGTATAAAACTTCGAATCTTTTCACTCTGCTTTCTTAGAAAGTAACTAGTCGAATTAGATAGAACAAGAACTGATTTTAAATTCAAAATTAATTTTATAAAGACTTGAGTCGCCCTTTTATTTTTACTTCGTTGCTCTTTTTTTCCTCGCTTCCTCCAATTCTTCGCCAATCAAGTAACCGAGACCTGAGAAGCATGATGAAACTATTTGACAGATGGTACCACAGACGTGACCAGAACTCTTCACTTTGGAGTGCCGACCGACGAGCAGAGAAAAGCCTACACGAGAGTGCTGATCGGTTCGATCGAATTATCGTCTTTGATTTTTCCCAGTGATCTGACGGTAGATCAATTGGACGCTGTCGCGCGGAGGCCATTGTGGAGCACCGGTTACGATTACATGCACGGGACTGGTCACGGAATCGGTCACTTCTCTTCAGTTCACGAACGTTCGTAATCTACAGTTTCCTGTAAAATAGTTGCGTCACGAGAATATGGAATTACAATTGATGAAAGCCATTCTAGTGGAACAATACGCGTTGCAGCGCCTATCAGCTTGTCGTATTTCGGATACAAAAATTCAATCGCAGGATGCTCCGTCAAGTTAAAGCCAGGATTCTTTCTCTCAAACGAACCGGGGTATTACAAAGAAAATGATTTTGGAGTTCGTTTGGAGAATGTCCTTGAAGTAATTCCGGCTGACAAATTGGTACATCTTGATACATTATTATATGTGTATACTTTATGATTATATACATATATAACTAACAGCCGCGCTACTATTTCATATTAGCAGTTTAATTACTAGCTTTAAATTGTTAGCTGATAATTGTTTCAGGCTCATAATGGACGAAGATTTCTCAAATTCAGAGACGTCACTCTAGTCCCTTACGAACCGAAACTTATCGATGTCAATATGCTAACGCCGCTGCACGTAAGTTTTAAATCCATTACTCCACAGCTGTTGAATTTAATTATTATAACTACAGAAAATCACAGGTTCTTGCAATATTAATATATCTATATCACATAGCGGCGTTGGCTAAATAATTACAATAAACGTATACGAGAAGAAGTCGGCGCAGAGTTGAAAAAAAATTTAAAAATGAAAGCATTTTACTGGATGATGGTGAAGACTACGTCCATTCCAGAAACAGGTTCAGGTGGCCACTTTTTTCCTGACTATTCTCAAGCGATACCGTCTACCAGTAGACAATTCCATGTCTTAGTTGTGATCGTTGCCATTTATCACGTTGTAGCAAGTAAGAGATATTCGAACAATTTATGCTTTCGTATACGATTTAATCGTTGAGCCTAGAATAATAATGCCAATTTTAATTGCAGATTTCATGAGAACAAGCGACTAAACTGGGAAACCCATCCCGTTGATCACGTTATTCGCCGAGTATTCTAATATGCATTGTGAAACTTTTTTTTATCATAAAATGTACATTATTTCCAAAGGTTGATATAGGGTATCATATAATTACATTTAGGCAGGAAAAACATAGAAACAAACTTTAATAAATTATTTTTCTATATACATGTCTGTATTACTTATTCTTTTTCACGTCTCCTCCTCCTTTTTCATGTCTTCCTTCTTTTTTTTCTTTTTGCTCTTTTCGATCTCCATCCTGTTGTGGTCGATTATTTCTTGAATTGGATCTGTTATTGGTTGTGGACTGTTTGTCCCGACAGCGACAGTTACGTAAAGTTTAAAATATTTCAATATATCGTCTAAAACAATACAAACATGTAAATCTATAAATGTTAAGATGTAAAGCAAATATAAATGTGTTAAGTCTCAAATTGATTTTACTGAAGCAACAGATGAAACTACATACCTACTACTTTCTTATCTATTTTATATTCGGAAGCTATATTTTCACTATTATGTGTTACTGGATCCTGTTTATGTTGCAAAAGAAATGTGAGAGCCTGTTTCAATGAGCATTTTCCCTCGGGGATCACTGTAGATTCGTAAGGCTCATACATAAATTTATTCTCCCCGATGTATCTATTCCGAGGTAAAGGCTTGGATTCTTTCGTCTCTTCTTTTGGCTCATTTATCTCCTATACAATATCCCAAAGCTTTACATCTCGATAATTTCGATAATCAAATGTATTCGTATTCAAAAATTCTATTAAATAGGATTCGTATCTAAAAGTACAAATTTAAAATGTCATACCTGCGGGTCTTTTGATGTAACGAAAACATCTTTCAGTCGTTGATCCAGTTGTATGTTTTTCTTGTAATGCTCTTCCAGGAAGTGTGGATTTACTGAGAAAGGAACAGAAAAAGGATTACGTGACTAAAATTGAAAGTACGAATAAAGCGGATATCTCGGACATCATTTTTGAATTATGATCACGTAATTACAATTTGGAATAGACATTATACTGACGACTCAATTACCTTCGTCCGTGAGCTTCCTTTGCTTATCCGCGGCTGCATATTGAGGCGCGGGTATCGGCTTTTCTCGAGAAATGATTTTCTCCGCGCGATTTGCGATATTAAACGTGCGGATGGGTCGTGTAAACACCGAGTAAAAGTTTCCCATGGCTCGAGTGACCTGCCGCAAAACAGACTATTCGTTATCTTGATGAAGATGAATACTAATAATGAATACATGACAAATCATGACATAAGGTTATTGTTAATTTCAGCTGTGATATACCTCCTGCAGTCAAAGAACGCAGGGGTTTGAGTTTGTACAACGTGCTTGGACAACAATTGTAAAACATTGAATGAACATTGAACATTGAAAAACAATCACATTTTACTTTCTGCTCCGACTGCGTTCCAAAACTCACCAAGAAAATGGAGTTGCAAGAGCTCCCTGCCACGTCTGCGTTCCAAAACGTACTAAAGAAGGGACATTCGAGTTTTAAGGGTCAATTTCACCAACCACAGTTAGCTTAGGGTGCTGTCACATGGCAGTCAGAAATTCGGAAAACGGAATCTCGGAAAAGTAACGGAGAGGGGGTCAACCAATCAGAGTCAGCTCGATCGGTGCGATTTTTCAAGGGCCGGGCTCCCCATGGAACGACTTTTATGGAAAACTAAATGGCATTCTAACCTTAACATATTTTTAAATTAAAGAGATTTTTATATAATTTTAGAGTATAATAAAAAATACGTCGAAACTTTATTTTTTAATAGACTCTACTACTACGGTAAGTATCTTTTTTCTTCTAAAACAATAAAAATAATTTTTTCAATTTTTACTTATTCCGGAAATATCAGTCCATGGGGAGCCCAGTCACAAAAATTTCGGACTGACAAGTCCGCAATTTTTGCATGTCTGACAGTATGTACATTAACTATTTATGTATTAAAAATTGTGTATTTATATTATTTTGTAGAGATAGAGATCATGAAATGAAAAAAAAATTAAAATACTTTTAACGAAAGAAGTTATTAAATGCATTTAATAACTTCTGACCCCCTCTCCGTTACTTTTCCGAGATTCCGTTTTCCGAATTTCTGACTGCCATGTGACAGCACCCTTAACCGACGGTTAAAGTTAGCAGGATTGACAAATAGAAAGCAGGGTGGATTCATTTCTATTGGTCAATTCTGCTAATTTTAACCATCGGTTAAGCTATGAAAAGTAGCAGCAGATTGTACTGATTGGCTATAAAATAGAGAAGTTCTCAAGTTTTTAGAACTTCTCTATTTTGTAGCCAACCAGTACGATCTGCTGCTGCTTTTCACTGCCCATGAAATTTCACCTTAAGGCTGCGTTCCCACTATACACGTCGCGCGTCGCGTCACGACGCCGCGTCATGAATTATCCAATCAAAACGTTTCAAAGAGAAAAAATAAATTATGGGCGCGTTCAGCAGACCAAGCAGCTGAATAGCAGTCGAACGTGTATGGCTCTTACTTTTAGAACCAACCAATCAACGCAGAGTGTTGATAAGACGAACTCAACAGTTGTGTCTGCTGAACGCGGCCTATACAAGAAGTTCAGCTAAAATAAACAGGGAATAAATTACGGTTCTTGAAACAATGCGCTCATCTACACCGAGAACGGAACTCATTAATGCTCCGCATTGTACATCTGAATTTAAAGCGATTACTGAAACTTTATAGGAGACCTTATGTTCCACTTGGGATTTAAAGGAACTAATCATCATCATGTACAAACAAGTGCCAAATATAATGTTTGATAGTTACAATGGTTGAAATTTTTTCAATACAGTACGAAAATGTGTAAAAATCCTACAAAAATTGTTACAAACTAAAAAGAAATATAATACTTATTTAAATATAAAATTATCTAAAATTGTTTCAGAAAAATAACAATGTGACTATTTTAACATGCATGCAATATCACAAGAGAGTAGATTCTGTCTTATTTCTGAAACACCTAAATCATTACAAATATAAATTGCATAATTAGCAAGTCCAATTACTGATCGTTTAGTAAAAATAATCTACATGTTATTGGTTAAATTTTTTACAACAACACAGGGTCCCGCACGGCCAGCCTTAAGAGGAGCAACCTATAAACATAAAAAGGTTTAAGTTTACAAAATACATTTATAATTATTTCTATTTACCATATTCAATTACAGGAATAGTTTATACACTCACAGGTTCCCATTCGTTGAGATGTGGATCGTAGGCTTCCACTAGTGTGAGACATTGTCGGTCGTTGTGTCCTCCCACGGCCATAAGTCGGTCACCTAATACGCACACACCAACTGTACTCCGGGGCACACTCATTGACGCAACCATAGTCCACGTATCGGTTTTAGGATCATATCTATATTGTTACATCGCATTATATATAACTTGAAAGTTTTAACATATAATGTAACAGCGGCTTTATACCTTTCTACACAATCGAATCTGCTAGCATTGGGATTGCTAGCTGGAGCGTCGTGACCACCGAGTGCATAAAGGCAACCATTCACTACTCCTACGCCTACGCCGCCTCGTCTCTTCGACATAGGTGCGCACGGTGTCCATTTGTTCGTGTGCGGGTCGTAACATTCTACTGTATTCAAGCAGGAATTGATATCTCTTCCTCCTACAGCGTACAATCTAAAACATCATAAAAAAAATATCAAATTTATTTTAAAAAATTTAATATTTAACCTTGTTGTGCACACGGGGTCGAATAGACCCCAGCGTTTTTTCAAACGCGTTTTTCTAATACGTACAATACGTACAAATATTAAAAATTGAACTTTTTATGCATTTTTTAGTGAAAAAAGTCCATTTTTCGGTTTCTTTAGTTAACATATCATTTATAATTCTTTTATGTTGCAAGATATTAATGAAACCTATTAGACCTAATTTGGAAGCTTTGAACAATAGCCAGCAATTTTGTTTGAGTCAAAATAACGAATTGTACGTCTGTAATAAACAATTAAATGACTGGGGTCTAATAGACCCCCTGTGCACAATACGTAATTTTGAAGAGGTGTGCACAACAAAGGTTAATAAGATTTAAAGTTAATAAAATAATATTTATACAAAGACACGTACGTAAAAAGGAAATTAAAATGATTGAAAACAGATATGACATATAAATTTAATAATTTATTTGTAAAGACTTACTTATCATTTAACACAGCTACACCGGCTCTATATCTTTGTACGGACATAGGACATATTGAACTCCACTGACCTGTTCCCGGATCCCATCTCTCTACCGCATTAAGAAAACAACGACCGTCGTGACCACCAACAGCATATAAAAGTCCACCTAAGACTGCCATTCCTGAGAAAGAATATTATAACGTATTTGCTAGGGTTTGATTATGAATAAATGAAATAAATTGCACATTAATTTTGCAAATTCTCATGCATTTGCACATACCTAATCCGCATCGACGAACATTCATAGAGGGTAGAGTGCTCCACGTAAGAGTGGAGAATAAATCGAGGCATTCTACTGTGTTCGATACTTTCAAATCGTCCATACTAATCGTCCCGTGGAGGCCTGTGACGTCTATACCGCCCGCGACAATCAATTTTTTATCGACTACTACTACGCCATAGTGTAGTCTACAGGTTATGAGTGACCAGGGTTTATCTAGAGATCTCCAGGCATTATCGCGTAATGAAAATGCCTCTACAAATTGTGCACCTAGAAAGTACGTTGTAAATTATTTCGCTTGGAAAAAGTAAAATAGTGCGACAATATTGGCATAATATATTTTCTTTACATTAATCGTGATCGATTAATTATCAGTTATGCGATTAATATTAAATAATTCATTTTGGATATAATAAATTACCTTCATTGGTGAGTATCCATCCGACAGCTAACAACGTACCTACAGTGGCTTTTCTGGGTTTCGTTCTACCTGTTTGAAGCAAAGGTCGTTCAGGCAGCAAATGATACTTCAATGCTTCCATTACTAATTCCTGCACCATTCGTTGGTCTTTGAACATTTCGTTACTCTCAATATTGTCAGCTATAAACTGTTTTGATTTATTAGTTAAGCTAATGCACAAGTTCTGTCGAGTAAAAAAATTGAGCTGTCGATGAACTTACCGCGGGTGATAGCAACGGTAATTTGACTAAACCTAATAATTTACTGGCATCTTTGCTTCTGTTTTCTGGATCGTGTTCCAGCCAAGTCACTAGAGCCTGAAATAATAATAAAACAATAACAATTCTATTTATTCTGTATCTCAGCTTAGGTATTTTAATTGCATTTGTATGAAATATTTGCTCAAACAATTATAGAAATACATATTTGTATATTTATGATCAATAGTATAAAAAACTTATAGCTATGATAACATCTGCTTCTTAATATTTCATATAAATTGGTTCGTTCAACAAACAGTTGTCTTACATGAAAGACAGTTTCTTCCGAGGGAACATTAAGATCCTCAGACTCAAGCAACTTGGCAACTTCATTGGCAGATAGCAGTAAGAATTCTTGATTTTTTGTAACTTCCATGAAATGTTTGGTAGTGTATGCGTGTGCGTATTCAAGCAATTCCGAACAACCCTGCGTATCGGCAAACGTCCGTATGCCCAGACAGTTGCTTGGGTGAAGTTGTTTGACGAAAAACTGACAGCACGCTTTAATGACTGGATTCAATTGTAACAAACATGCTGCTGCAAGTAGAGTCTCTACGCTATCTTCCTGTAATTCTATGCAACCTGCAAGTATACAAAAGAACACGTTATTAAGAATTGACAAGAAATCCAGAAATTAACAAGAACGGCTTTAAAAAATATCTGCAAATGCCTTTATCGTAACGTTAATATTCGTGAAATGTTTTTTTACATGAAACATATCTTCTCAAGCAGAATTACCTGTATAACAATAAAGAACCAAAGCCCATAAAGCATCTCCATCAACATCCATTAATTTTATTTCATTTTGTGCCGACTCTCGCAGAGAGCTTGTGAACATGGCAGCAAAATATTCAGAGCCAGCACTGAGTACTATTCGATGAGCTGGGACACGCTTATTTCCTAAGAAAAAAGCACAGAACAGAGAAAAAAAATATGAGAAAATGGGATGTCACAAGTTCATCGAGTGCGAAGAATATTTCCAATATGTTGTGTACAAAATATACTCTCTCTTCAATTTTTACTGGTTAAAAACTTTTAATAATAAAAAGAATTTCTCTTTGAATCTTGATATTATACATAAAAATATACATAAAAATATTTATGAAAATGCACATTTTATGTAAAAATATTGGGATAAAATAATAACTCTCCTCGTTTTTATTAATTAAAACATTTGATTAACCATTATCATCTGAATCATTACAAGTCCAATTGACAGTTGACACATAGATGCGTGGTTATCAAAACAAAAAGCACCCCGGAGCCCGGTACAGAAGGACGGGTACATACACTCACCCGCGATCAGCGTGACGTCTGTCAACTGTTGCTTGTGCAGATAACTCTCCATAATTCGGAGGCTACTTTCCGCGTGCTTCGGCGAGATGGACACGCATGACATTGTGGGCACTACTTGAAAAGCTGTTCGTTCTAGATGCGAGGTTGACTCAAAAGATTGTGTATACTTAATAAACTTTATTCTTACAACTAAACCTCGTGAATGTCCGAAGTATAATAGAGACAAAGGAAAACTGGGTAAATCTGAAGAATAGTAGCCTCCTCACCGATTTTGTTGCACTTAGGCTTAATCGACGCGTTTTTGCGTAAAACGGAAAAATCAGAAAATGTTAATTATTTAGAATACGCGCTGCACCTCGAATATCAATAAAATTATGCTCATTCGACGACTTTGACACGAAACGAAAGAATCTGGTAGAAAAATTCGGCGGTCTGCCCTGCGAAGCGAGATATTTAGCGTTAAAATTGACGACTTTCAGGTTAGGAATCCTGTCATACCGACGCGACGTAATATAGCTTCTTCTTCTTCTTCTTCTTCACATGTGATAAAACGGGACACTAGACACTCCCATGACGCATGAGCATGAGATAGGTCACGCGAGGACGGGTTTAGGAACTCTAGGTTTCGGAACGGCGGATTGCCGTTTCCATGTTGGTGCGAGTGGTCGCGCGCAATCGTAATGAGCACTGCGACTAGTGCGAACTGCGACTGCGAGCAATGGTGATGCTAATGCTAAGACTCCATAGACGCGGAAACGCCGTGCGGTAGAGTGCGTTAACCAATCAGAAGGCTGCCGCAAGTCGCCTGCGGCAAAATCAAAATTTGTGATTGGTCAACGCACTCTGCCGCATGGCGTTTCCGCGTCTATGGAGTCTTAGCATGAGTTTCGGGTAGTATGTATGTACGCGTCGGGACGAGAGCGTACCGTATGCACCGATGATCTGTGAGAGACTCTCGCGACTGTGGTTTTCTTCCGTGCGAAATATGTCGCGGCTCTGTGCGGCCTAACGACGGGACGGTATTTCGGTGAGTCTTTGTGCATATCATAACGGAGAACTGGTATCTGAGTTTCACGATACTCCGTAACCGCCAAAACTGTAGACGGAAACGCCATCTTGTGCATTGATGTTTATATTTTTCACAAATCGAACGACGTCCGCTGTGGATTTTTCACTTTTTCAGATGCGTTTAATGGGTTAGACCGCGTGCCGATTGACACATTCAACATTGATCGAGTCTCTAATGTTGAATTTGTTTCACATTATCTCAGACCAAATGTAACGTTTTATTGCCAGAAAAGGAATGTTTCATTGATGTGTCAGGTTTAGGCAGGATGGCGTTTACTAAACGTTTCCCTTTTTCTAACTACACTTCTTTTGCTTTTGAACTTAAATTTCTGATGTAATTAATTCACTTATTTCATCTCTTTACAGATCAGTGCTAGGAAAATTCAAGAACCATGTTTTACGCACATTTTGTGTTGGCCAAGAAAGGGCCCTTGGCCCGTATATGGCTGGCCGCTCATTGGGACAAGAAATTAACAAAGGCACACGTATTTGAGACAAACATAGAAAAATCGGTGGATGGTATATTACAACCGAAGGTAAACGTCTTGGTGATCAGTAAAGTCTCACAAGAGGCCTGTTTATTTTTGCTGCACTTCTGAACTAGTGCAATAAATTAGAATGATACGAATATATTTTCTTTCATTCTACTTATTGCACTAGCTCAGAAGTTCAGCAAAAACGAACAGGCCTAAGATGTCTTGATGTATCGTTAAATCTTACATACGATATTTATAACAGGTTAAGATGGCTTTGCGAACATCCGGCCACTTATTACTGGGAGTAGTACGAATCTATTCAAGGAAAGCCAAATACTTACTAGCCGATTGCAATGAAGCCTTCGTGAAGATCAAAATGGCCTTTAGACCTGGAATGGTAGATCTGCCTGAAGAACACAGAGAGGCAGCTGTGACGGCCATCACTTTGCCAGAAGTGTTTCATGATTTCGACACTGCTATGCCTGAACTTAAGTAAGATAATGTGCCATTAAGCTTTTGTCCAAGAACTGGATAGTATTTTTAAATATTTGATAAATAAATGTTTATTTTCAGAGACGTTGACATTGAAGCACAGTTTAGTTTGAATCAATCTAGAGCAGAAGAAATAACAATGAGGGAAGATTATGGTAGTTTATCTTTGGTTACGCACGATCAGGGCTTTGGTGATATGAGTTTTGACGCTGAGCCACCAGAGTTGCTACGACATGGCAGTGGCATGGAACCTTCGTTAGATCAAGTATTTATTTTACTTTGTGTTCTTCTTATTTTTATTTATTAAACACCTCTGATTATTATATAGCAATGAGTAAAATTGAATGTGCTTTATAAGGTTTCTCAAAAGTAATTATACATTTTAAAGTAATATTACATGTGCATAACAGCAAAACAGTCTAAATATAATCTTAATATTTTAAAAAATATATAAAAGTTTTTGTAAAAACGTTTATAGAATGTGTTCTCAGTTTTGTTTATTACCGTGTATATAATGTGAACAAATACTTTTAAACATTTTCTAAAGATGTCATTTTTGTTAAATAAGCAACAAAACTAGCAATTTTTATTACTTTTTTTTTTAATAATGAGCATTTTAAGATATTAATTATCCCGATTTGATTTTAGAGTCACATGTTGTTTAGCGATGGCCCAGGAATAGAAACAGCATTAGAACAAAAAGAGAAAGAGCCAGTTGCAGGAACATCCGCTACAGCACAACCCATGGACATCGATACACCCATCAGAGATGATGGTTTTGGTGGTCATCTCGGCCAGGATATCATATGTACGATAAAAATAACTAAATAAATAGTATTCTTCTTGCAAACGGATCCGATAATTATTTATAATTATTACGTGTTTTAGCGGGAGGTCTCTTTGAAGGTGGTTTATTTGATGAGGCTCCAATGGGTGAAGTACCCGTTCCTGAGGTTAGTTCAATAAATGAGCAACCGGAAGCAGGCGCGCCTCCTGGAGCTGCTGCTTCCGTGCACGATGACTCTGACGAAGATATGGGTGATCATTTTGGTGGTCCAGCTTCTCCGATGGGAGGCATGAGGTATTCATCATTTCCAAAAAATTTATAAGATTCTAAAATATGCAATTAAAAAAGAAAAATTAAGTAATAATAGCCAAAGCATGATAGGTCACAAAGAAATATTTGTGCCAAAGTTGATAGGACACAGAAATATTTGTGCAATCGGTGTATTCAATGATCGAACTTTATTCAATAAACAAACATATCCAATCTTGGATCAAAATGTACGTTTGTCAACAAAAGTGTTTATCAGATAGACCGGTCAATTACACTTTGATTTTTATTGCCTAATTTTCCTTTCTTGATTTATTGTTGATCTCGTTCTTTGCGTATTTTACTATATATGAAATGTCGATATACTAACGAATTGAATACGTTATGTATAGCTCTGACGGCTCGAGACCAGCTACGCCAGCTGCAGCTGGAGAGGAAATTGAAGGAAGAATAAGCGTTGCTAGCCGACGTTTTACACCAGCTCCGCCAGTTATACCAGAAGAACATGCCATTGACAATATAGAAGAACCAGCACCTTTACAAGATCAAACCACATTATTACATGATGAGGAAGAAAGCTTCGCGCTAGCTCCAATTGACGCATCCGCTTTGAAGGGTAAATTTTTTTATTCTAACATTGATGTACGTATGTTGTAATTAATTTATAATTAACAAAAAGTCATCGGTTTTCCTAGGATTCACAAAAGCTAAGCGCAAGCGTAAACTCATTGTCGATGAAGTAAAAAATATTTCTGGCGAGGAAATGAAGGCACAGCTATCCGATACTAGCGATATTATCACAACGTTGGACTTGGCACCACCTACGAAAAGACTAATGCACTGGAAGGAAACGGGCGGTGTAGAGAAGCTCTTCGCTCTGCCAGGAAGGCCTATTCCGGCTCGTGTTCTATTTAAAGTAATAATATTTCATATTATACGATTGTTAGAATAACAAACTTCGAAAACCTATATAATTATTTTATCTTTATTACCGAAACAGAATTATCAAAGGCATTTGACGAGCAAGTCTTACGATCATGAAGATTTCGGGCGACTTGGAAATGAAGAAGATGGAATGTCTTTGGAACAAATGAGAGATGCTCCAGATGCAGAAATGTCCTCTTTCGAACAAAGTATTCTCAATAAGCGTACAGGACGAAAACGGAAAGCACCACTGGATGATGAGGTCAGTCATAAAAATAACAATAAAAGAAAAATCTTTCTTCTTTAAAGAAAATAAAAAATCAGTCAATTTTAATGGCGTATTATAATTAATATCAATGTAAATATCGTTATGTTTAGATAAGGCAACCTCCTCAACCAGCCCAACCAACTCCAGACGTCAGTCAATCGAATGAAGCAGACATTCCAAACATAATTGCACAACAGAATCTATCTTCAGAATCAGCTATACCACCCGAAGTATCTTTACCAGCAGAACCATCGGTTTCCGATATAAGCAGCATTGTGCCTTCTGGGGAACCATCAGAGGTTTTACCACCAATTACCGAAACGCCTTTGCTCGGCTCGGAAATGCCACAAGTCGCGCCAGGTGAGGTCAGCGCACACGAAGAGTCCCAAGTACCATCAACGTCGGCACAGGAAGACGCGGCCACCACCGTACAAACATCCGATATGCCGCAGATGGAAAATATGGGTTACGATCAAGTGAGTTAAAAAAAACTTTCATTCTGTGACAAATGCATGAAAAATATAGAATTAATTTATATTTCCCTAAGTCTTTGATTGTATTATTGCGTTGTAACTATTGCTTCCTTACACATTACATCTAGAAAACACAACACACATTTTATATAGAAATTCTTATCAATGCTGCATAATTTCGATAGGCGCAACCGCAGGTTTCGTACATGGGCTATGACGAACAGCATCCCCCAGCACATACGCCTGGTGCAATTTCCGAAAGAGGACCCGCTACACCATGGAACCATGAGGATTACGAGTTTCCGCCATCCGTGGGACCTGTAATACTATACTTAATATTATTCATAAACTTATATTTTTGTTATATATTTCTATAAACAATATAGTTTTCTATTCTATATTTATTTATTTATCACAAGTTTTGATGGAAAATTTAAAAAAATCTATAACATTAATTGCTTATAATATGTTACATTTTTCAGCAAGAGGAACAACAAATGGATGAAACTTATGAGCAGTTTGAAGAACGTGTTCTTAACAAAAGAGCAGCACATATGTATCATGTTATTAAGAGCAAACTAGATATCAAAGATAAATTAACACTATCGGAGATGGCATTCAAAAATAATCGCAAACAGGTTGGTACTTTGTTAAACGATCCATTATCCAATATCCAATATGTTCGTCTATACGAGATTTTTATATTGATTAAAAAATACTCTGTCTTTGCAGGTTGCACAGAAATTTTATACGCTGTTAGTCCTGAAAAAGTTCCAAGTATTAGAACTCAATCAAGAATATTCATATGCTGAGATTATAGTGACAAAAGGACCAAAATTCGAAAATCCTGCGTTGTAAAGGTTTATGCTCTCAATTACAAAACTGCGCGTATCAAGGAAGGACGTTGACACCTATCTTTACACAAATATCAAAATAACATTCACATTTTTTTATAAATCCTAAATTAAGATAGTAGGATTTATTGATTTTCAACACTGAATGATTTGTGAGAAATGAAATATCTGATTTTTTTTATTCCCTGTCTTGGAAAGATGCATAATGATATTATTGTGTAATCATTTTAATCGCATTGCGTTTCTTTTTTCATACGTATAATATATAAAATATTGATTACTCTTTACTTAAATAAATTCTTATTAATCTTATTAAATATTTACTCCTAACTTGTACTCCTTATTTTCCAAAATGTCTTGTGATTTTGTCTTGCATTATTCATCAATCCGAACAGGGTTTGTATATAAACATAGCAATAGTTGAAAAATATTTTATGACATATGTATCATCAATGACTTTTTAAGTCTATATATTGCAAAAAGGTCCAAAACTACAGGTACACTCTTGACATTAATCAATTTTGATATAATTATTCATTTTCATTTGAAAATATTTTGTAATAAAATATTAATGCAGTTAAAGATTTCTATATTTTCAATTTATAAAATTCAGAAACTAAAAAATTCGGGAATTTATAGTACTTATATACATATTTAGTTGTACTGTAAACAGTTATTAATGGAAGAGTTAATTTAATTGTTTGTGAATAATAATTTTATGTATTATTGTCAGAAAGAATATATTTTTGATTCCTATCTGTATGAAGATAATAAAAGATACAAGAAACTAAACATTAATTACGGAATTTGTGTAAACTTTTTGTTATAATGCTTTACTTTTATCAATTGAGATCATATTAATAATGCGAAAATCATAATTATCACTTTTTTTCTTTGAAAATATCTACTTAAAAAGTTAATAAAAAAATAATTACCAAATTAATAAGATAACAAAATTTGATTATGGTGCTGTTTTTGGAAAAAATATTCTCTTTAGTATACTATATTTATCAAAAAAAATTGTATGTTTAATGATTTATTGTTGTATTTGTATGTCTGTCTCATGATGTATAAAAAAATTACAATATATTTTAACGGATTAAATGTTCGTCATACAAATTTTGCAATAAAGTTATAAGTTTACACTGTAAATAAATACATTTATAACGTCAAGGTAACAAATCGTTAAATTATAATCGTAAGAAATAATTTAGTAATGTGTCATTAAGTTTAAAATCAGTTAACTGCCATGTAACAAATATATTGTAAATAACATCTATTTAACGAACCAGGTTTACTGAGAAAATAAATATCGTTTATGTATAATATTATTTATAAACGATATTGAACCTACTGTGAGCATACATATCATATAATACTTAAAACTGTTATTCTCCATTATTTTCCATTAATGAACTGTTACACTAGATATATATTAGATAATAATTTATTTAGTTAGTAGAAGAGTTTCTTTATAATTAAGTTATCTTTCACATGCGTGATGTAATAGGAAAATATCATCTGAACTTAAAACTTATTTTAATATTTTACGACAAAATATTCATTCTTTATTATTACTGCATGTAGGATTTGTATGTTAAACACAGTTTTATGACGAGTAACATACACATGCACACATATTTAATATTAATTATTTATATAATAGTATATTATTATATAATATTCAGTAATTTAATTTTATATTATTTTTATCCAAAGTAAAATTTATAACATGCGTGCGTAATGTCATATTATTTAAGTCATATTCATTGTTAAATAATTACATAGACATTTGGATAAAACTGGTATAATTAGCATAAACAATATGAAATACATTTTCGATATACTGTAAATACCGTGATTATATTAACTACAAAATTCCCTTAAACATAAAAGTTTATTCATATAAATCAAAGAAATGTAAGTTTAAGAACATCCCTAGTTTTTAGTAATAAACACAAAATTAAATATTTCTCCTACATATTCTTTTTTATACAGATGTTAAATATCGTATTCTGTGGTATTAATGCAATCAAATAAGTATAACATTATGTTATAAAACAGCTTTATTTTAGCAGCATTTTACGCACGCGGACAATAAACGAGCAGCAAGTTGTAATTAAATCTTTATTATCGCGTGTGATATTTGTATGCGCAGTGGAACATTTACAAATCTTTTACATTTTTCTCGTATAAACGCATTGTATTCAATATAATATGTAAATATGTATCCAACATAATATATAAATGCATTTTGACATTACTCGTCCAGTTCACCAGCGTCCATAGCATCTTGATAAGACTTGGTCTTCGAGTGCTCAGGATCTAATCTAATCATATCATCGATTCGAAGAATGGTTATAGCTGCTTCAGTAGCAAATTTCAAAGATTTAACTTTTGAAATAGCTGGTTCTAACACGCCTGCTTTTTTGTTATCTCTTATAGTTCCCATGAGTAAATCAAGACCCACCCTGTAAAAGAATTAACATAATTCATATTATTTTATATGACAAACTATGAGAAAGGTCAATGGAAACTTACCACTTCAAGTCGACAAGATCTGGTTTTGTTATACTGGAATTATGATAGGCTCGGAGCTTGGCGACAAGATCGGTTGCGTCTTGTGCAGCGTTTACGGCTAATGTTTTTGGTATAACTAATAAAGATCGAGCAAATTCCGCTATAGCCAGTTGTTCTCGGGAGCTCTGTAACATAGAAGCGTGTAAACATCTCATGCCAGGGAAAGAAAAATTGATAGTAAAGATGCAGAATTTAATTATACCAATGATGTCGCAAAGTTTTCCAAGTATATTGAGAGTGCGGCTTCTACGCAACCTCCTCCCGCGACGACGTTTTTACTTTCCAAGACTCTCTTGACAACGCATAACGCATCATGTATGGAACGTTCCATTTCATCGCAGTAATAATCGTTTGGTCCGCGTAAAATGATAGAGCTCGCTGTGCGTGCCTTAGGCCTTGAAATTTGAAAAAAAATCATCGATAAATAATAGTGCCTTTATTGCTATTTTTCATAATACTAATTGCGTTATGTGTGGTGACGCGTGGCTCATTATAAAAGCGACCGACTGATAATCGATCAGTCCCAAGTTCGAGTCTCGATCGTCACCTCACTTGCCTCGCGAAAGATACAGATCCTGCTTTACATTTTTTAAGCCTAAAAATCTGGAGGATCTGGAAGAATGACGAGCGGTCTCGTAAACCTGGCAGAATACCGACCAGGGATCGACAACTCAACTTAGAAAGCGGGAAAGTCACAGAACTTTTTAAATCTAAGTGACACTAGGAGACTAATTAGTCTCACCCGCTATTACTACTACTGCTACTAATTACGTTATGCGAGAATTCTAGAAATATATTTCAGCAGATATATGCGAGACGGCAAACGTGTATAACTGATAAGAACTATTCTTCTTTTCATAGAGCTTTACCGACATCTTATTAATAGCAAAATATATACCCTTTAATCAAAATAAGTTCGTCATCGCATATCATCTCTTGCACTACTTCGGCAGCCTCCCCCAAGAAACTGGCCTCGAAGCTCTCCTCTCCTTCCATGTTGGTCAGCGAAGTTACAAATTGCGCGCCTGTAGCTTTAGCGATTCTTTTCAGATCAGCTTTTTTGCATCTGCGCACTACTATGGTCTTAGCTTCCACAAAATACTGTGGAAAAATAAAAAAAAAATTGAATATTGCGCTCATTTCTGAAATCCATTGCTAGAAATTAGAAATGTTAAGACTGTACCTTTAAGCATAAATCGTCAATGCCGCCGGATAAAAGAACGACATTGGTCCCAGCAGCAAGAATCTTCTGAATGCGTTCCTTAGTGATATCCGCTTCGCGTTGACGAACAGCTTCGAGTTTCTCGGGATCCGTAATAAGTACTTCGACGCCCAACTTCATCTTTGCTTTCTGCAACGAGAAGTCTAGACACGCGATTTTCGCGTTCGCTATCCTTTTCGGCATTGCTTGAGAAGCGACGGTGCAATTAAGCGCATATCCTTGAACTAAAACCGATTCTCGAACGCTCTTTCCGTGTGCCTTCAAAACATTGACTGCTTTTATAGGATATAAAAATCCTCCCTTGCCGTCATTGATTTTTACCGCGTTAGCAGCGTCGACCACCATGTTGCCAAAGAAATTGGCATCACTAATTATTAGTTATAGAAAATATTTCATACATTGCTTCTACCAAATATCGATAAACAAACTACAAACGATGAAATTGTAAGTAACATCAAAAAGGATACGCTCCAATAATTTTGCTTGACATAGATGTTTTTGCAACATTAACTAAGCATTCCCTTCCGAGCTCGTCCACGCTGACAGTTAGGTGTTCCTGAATATACTTGCATGCTTCTCTAAAATTTATTTCATGTAAAATTGTATCAACTAAAATATCGTTTTTTTTCTTGATTCGATAAATATGAAATACACTTTTATTCATTAATAATTTAGCTTTAGCTAATTAACATTAATCAATAATTCAATTAATTTCATATTAAAGGTAAAATGATTTAATAAAGTGAATCATTGAATACTTACTTGCAGGCGAGTCTGTAGCCACTAATGACTGAAGTCGGATGTATCTTTTGTTTCACAAGCTCATCTGCATTTTTCAAAAGCTCCGCCGCTATTATAACCTTCAAAATATAAAATAGCATTTTATTAAATATATATTTAATTAAAAATTTTATTAAATGTACAAATATAATTGGATCACTTACCACTGAAGTAGTACCGTCTCCAACTTCCTCATCTTGTAACTGGGCTAATTCAACTAGAACTCGCGAAGCTGGGTGTTCAACTTCTAACAAGCGTAAGATAGTCGCACCATCATTGGTAATAGTGACATCCTGAAAACGTTGTAATTAATATTAATGTTTTGTTCCAAATTCTTATGTTTATATTAAAAGCTATAAGAGCTAAATACATACACCAATGTCATCGACCAACATTTTGTCCAATCCAACCGGACCCAAGGAGCTTTTAACTATATTAGCGATAGCACAGGCAGCCATAACTGGAAGAGATATAAATAAATAATATATTTATATCATACATTTGCATGTACAACTCACATATTACATTTTAACTATGTACAATTCAAAGATTATATATTAATAAGCTATTTTCATTTTAAATAAAAATTATCAAAATATAGGCATGAAGTATTTATTAATTGTTCATATAATTAACCCTAGTAGTACAAATATGGGTATTTCTTGTCCGATTGACTTCTATCCATGAAAAATTCTCGAAATTTCAAAGAGTCCCCAATTATACACTTAATTTTTTTTCTAGAATAAAGTGCCGATATTTATTCCAGAAACTTGAAAGTATGTTCATAAATTTTTAGATTTTTTTTAATTACTTTAAATATGTGAAAAAGGTATCATGGGTGTTTGAACACGTTGATACCCATGTTTGTACGAATAAAGTGCCGTTTTTCACATTTGTACTGTAAGAGAGAGTTAATTTTTTACACAATATACCAAGTTGCTTTGTACTCCTAAGAAAGCATTATTTTTATATTATTTATCGAAGTTTATATCGCACATTTATTTTTAAGCAAAATAAATCTAACTACTATTTGATACAGGTGCTATTCCAAACGCAGCTTTAGTTAACTAAAATGCTATAGTGTACGTGACGTAAACTTTTTTTATTTTTAGTTAACTAAAAATTTTAGTTAACTGAGGTTGCGTTCGGAATAGCACCACAGTCAACAAGTATGTACGAAGGGCTAGTCGTCTATTTCCCGGTTGCAGGCCTCGATTGCCAAAAATGCCAACCGTGATTTCGTGTTATACGTAAAAAACCGGAGTAACAATATATTCAAGCGTCGAAGACCGCTTCTAATATCTACCGATTCCGTTTCATGGATTCACGGATTTCTCGGTAGAAAAACGGTAATCGATACGAAACGGCACGAACAAGGAATGATACGCGGAGTTCTCGAGGCCGCGCGGGACGCGATATATAACCAAACTCCGCGGATTGATGCTCATACCATTTTGCGTTCGCACCGGCGCTCCCGACTGTCGGACGCCTCCGATGGCTAAAGCACTCGCTACCGTCGACATTGCGAGAGACTCGATGTTATTTCAGCACGATACAGAAACCACGTTGTTCGGTAACGACGCCGAGAAAGAGTCTTGAGTCTTGACGAGTCCAAGTCCAAGGAAGCCGCGTGCGACTTGATGCGACTACGAATAATAATGATTATAATGACGATCAACGCCAACGCCAGCCGCCAGCGCCCAACTTCGCCTCCTACTTCCTTTTACGGTCAAGTGCGACTTTAGCGGCTATTGGCCACGTCGCGTTTTGTTTTCGAACGTAATTGGCGACGAGTTGGACCAAAAAGTAGCGCGTCTTCTACCAATTTCTTATTTATTTTATTTTATTTATTTTATTTTCTGACTGCGGAGTTTCTTGTTACGCTTATATATATATATATTTTTTTTTTTAATTCTTTCTCGTAATTTTGTTATTAATTAATGGATTTTGCAAATTTTTCCCATATATTATTATCTAACAGAGATGGCACGAGGTGTAAAATGAGTTATGGATTGAAACATAGCTCATTCGAAAGAGGATGTCGAGTACATAAACGCTGTAAAGGGATTACAGTGAATGGGCCCTGGTTGCTGAGAAATTTGCATCTAAAGTTGAGCATCCGGCTTACTGTAATGCCCGTGTCACACTACGTATCGCGGACGCGGATCGGATTGGGATTACGGATCGCGGATCGGATATCAGCCAATCACAGATGAGCTGCTCGTCCATGATTGGCTTAGATTAGAACGTTTATGTACTCGACATCCTCTTTCGAATGAGCTATTGCCGGTATTCATAATCAGACCTTATTTCAAGATCGTCTTAAGTAATATCTTAAGATGCTGATACGGTTCTGTGATTGGTTCATAACATCTTAAGATCGTACTTAAGACGATCTTAAATATAAGATTCGACTATGAATATCGGCCTATGTCTCAATCCATAACTCATTTTACACCTCGTGCCATCTCCTTGTAAGTTGTCGGCATTCTTAATAAAATTATGACAATTATACAAAAGAAGGAGAGTATAACATAAAGGAAAAGGAGAATATAACTTAAAGGAAAGCACTATGTGCCTATAACAATATACAGTTTTCAGTTTTTTAATTAGAATATAATGTATTTAAAATCATTGTACATTGTATGTACAGGCAACAAATTTACTATTATTAAGAAAAATGCATAAAAGTTAATTACAATACACTAATTATTTCATTTTCCTTTGCTTTATCAGATGCTTTTTAAGAGCTATTTGTTTCTCTCTAAAAGATCGTTTTACTTTCGTTTTCAATTTCTGCTTCAGCATCGAGAATGCTTTTCCTTTTCTTTTCTCACGATTTGTTGTACTGCACGACGGATTTTGTCGTCGATCTTTAAAACCGAATTTGTCCCGTGCTTCTTGTCCCTTCTGCAAATTCAATGAATGTCTAAGCTAATATTCTATTCCGTATATCAGACGGGAATACAACAATTTATACATACCTTCACAGATTTCTGTCGAGCAGCCTTATCATGCTTGCGTTTCTTATATATGTTTTCTATATCGCTAAGTTTTACCAATTCTCCACCTTGATTGGTCTCGATTTGATCACGCGGCCTCTTAACAGCACGCTTAACGTACGTTACGTCTTGCTTTGCTAACGCGACGTCAATTTTTCTGAAGTCTTTGTCCGTGAGTAATCGTTCGGTGGATATTACAGACGCTTTTGTTTTTCTCTCAGCCGTTAATTCTTCGTTCTTCTCGGACTCGTGTTTCGCCTTCTTCTCTAATTTCTGCGCCTTCTTCAGTTGTTTCGTTAAAACTTTTTTCTTTCGCAAAACTTTATCCGTTTTTTGTTCTCCGCTATTCGCTTCACAAGTATTCTGTGCACCGTTGTTTTCGCTATGCGATAACGTTGAAGTCTTATTATCCTCATTTTCGCTAGTGGAAGATCTCGCCGTTTCATCCAAATCAGCTGTCGACACGTTCTCGCTTACTTCCTCCTCGCCGATTTCCTCCTCGCTGATTTCTTCCTCGCTGCTTTCACTTACGTCGATCCATTCGTCATTATCCTATATTTGAATAGATTTTTTAAATATAATTTTACGAAAGAGTAAGTAATTGAGAAAGTAATTTAGATATTTTCACTTACTTCTTCGTCACTATCATTAGTCTCTCCAGTATTCTCAGCAGATTGATTATATAAAACTTCTGCTCCTGGTACAAACTCGCTAGCCCGAATTTCGCCGTATTTGGACGACTTTATCATAACATTGGCTTCTGTAGAACGGCCTCTGTCTTTTTTACGCAATAAATCGGGCATTAAACGTCTAAACGTGCCAATTAAAGAATGCGCTGCCATCATGACGGAACGTTCCTTGTATTGCTTGTATTGTGTTAAATCCTCAAGCAAATCCTCACTCATAGCCAATGGACATCGTGTACATATCTCACGTACAGTATTTAAACTGTAAATATATATTATAAATAAATAACGATATAAACAACATGTGTATTCGTAACAAATAATTATTAAAGTAGATATTTACGCACCCAATAGCCATTACATCCGCCGAATTTCTTTCCGTTATGAAATTGTTTGCCAGTGTCTTCAAAACGGGTTCTAACACCTCGGGTGGTACTAATTCATGTGAAGCCTGAGCTATAAACTGTAAAAGTTTGGTAACCTCTGGAAAAAACAAAGACGATATGTATAACATCTAAATAAAAAGTTAGGTGGAAGCTACATGCTCTTTGTATGACTCAAAACTAAAAAAAAATTAATAAAGTTTATATAACAATTAATAGTAATCAACTATGTAGAATAGATACTAAAAAATTAAATATAAAGGAAGATATTTAGTTAAAAGTCTAAATATTAAGGAACTAGAGAATATTCGAATAATAAACTTAATAATGCGTTATTAATCTCACCTCGTTGATGGGGCTGAAGGAACCTTTGTATATACGGATAAAAATTCAATAGAAATAAACTATGCAGGCCAATAAGTCTAGAGACAACATCCAGAGTCATAAGCTTTACTTCAAATCTATCATTATTTTTTTCTATCTGCTTGAACAATCTTTCAGCAAAATCCTGAGGGTCGTGAATTAAATGCAACGCCGAAAAATTATATTGCGGCGCCTTAGATTTCTTCTTTTTGGCTTTCTGGAAGATACATTAAAATTAGAAGTTATATTTCCTATATAATTTACATTTCCTATAAATATTATGATAAATTCCATAAAATTAAACCACTTACTACGAATGACTGTTTAGCTTTCTTTAATTGCTTCTCTCGTTTCTTCGTTTTCTTGTTTACTTTATTGGACAACATGATTTCCTTCATACTTGGCTCATCATCCGAATCACTATCGTCACTTCCTTTTTCCTCTGGGTCGGTTCCCAAAAAGAATTTCAAACTAGCGACCGATACTTTTGTTATTTTCGAAAAGCAACCCGTCGCTATAACGTTAACAGTCTTGACGTCGTTCCAGACATTTTTCTTGTACAATTCTATCATAATGTCCACAGACATCTTCGCGGCTCTGACATTGGGATCTTTTAGCATAGAGAACATAAAATTTTGTAATACTGTATTGACCTTCGCATTTTTATGCTTTGCATTAATATTTTTTATATCTGTAACTATATGCGTTTGGAGAAACTGCCTTAAGACCTTATCCTGACATTTTAAAAGTTCAAAAAATAAACTGAGAAGTGCAGTAGGTTCTAAAAGGGATTTGTTGCGTAGCTGGATCAACGCTTTACAAAACGTCTGTAAGGAATATAATTATAATGTAGTTGGTAATAATCACGCGCAATATTTTATAGCATAATTTAACTTCCATGCATACAATGCTTACCAATCGCATTCCATTGTCTAGTAGGACGTTATGAGTTTGTAATATATCGACAATCTCTTGGGGATATGTCTTCAAATCACCTGGATAGCAATGGGCTACCTGTAATAATACGCAAAAAGGTAGAGAAGCTTGTTCAGCATATGCATTATTTTATCGAGTGATTTTTAAAATGATAAAAATAGTAATTATGCAGTTAATACAAATTATTATCTATACTGTTATATACATTACTTATGCACGCACAATCGATAACTGTATTTAAACTTTAATTTAAATACTTAAACATTAATGTTGTAAAATATTTAATTTAATTCAAATTTAAATATTAATGTTACGAGATAGGAAATGTTTAAATAAATACAATATATGTATTTGCAAAACTTTTAATAAAAAGAAAATCAAATTATCACATCAATTTACACACAAAATCATATTTCTCATATGCCAAACTTATTTTATGCATTACAAACTGTTACATACTAAATATATAAAAATAAAATCTTATTCTAATATAAATATAGGAATACGTGAATTGATTTTAAATACTTAAGAAATCTTCATACAATAAAGCATTAGGCAAAGCTGTTAGAAACAAGCACACATATGAAACTGTAACTAAAGATGAACATAATGAATTATGTACATGAAGTATATTCAATTCATGTTCGTGCTCAAGTAATTCTTTACTTCAAAGCCAATCGTCTTAGCTACGACGATAATAAAGTCGTGGCTTGCGCAGCACTTGAATTTCGTTTCATCCAACTGCGTGACGTTATCCCCGACGATAGATAGTAGACCAAGCTGGCACATGGTAGATATTTGAGCTAGCAAATTGGCATTGATGTCTACCTTCTCGTCGAGAATAGCGCAGAAGATCGCGAGCATCCTCGAGATGGTGAAGACACGAGATTTCTTTGGCGCATCTTCTCCCGTTTTCCTAATCGACCGTATCTTCTTTCGTTTCTTACTACGCTTCATAAAAATATGTTTGTCGCACTTCGCGGGATTGTACGAAGCTAGATACGCTGCGATTAGCATGTACTTCGCGTAAAACGGTAGTTCAAAACTCAAAGCTAGCTTCGTCGTCGACTCAATCTCCCGAGACATTTGATGATCGGGTTGCAAGAAATCGCCCGTAGAAACCCTAAGATAAATGATTTCCAAATTGGATTTCAGAGTCGCAGAAATGTTTCGCCACAGTGCGGCAACGTTGTCCGGCTCAATTCGCTTACTCTCTATGGGTTCTATGTATTTAGCAAAATTTATTTTGGCCATGTGCCGAAGCTCGTTTAGATCTCTACAAAATCGGAAAAATACAGAAAGAAAGAGATTCAAATAATTCTTATAAAAATCCGCTTCGTAATTCGCTGGCTTGTCTAATAACAGCAATTGGGCCAATTCGTCCTTCGTGTATTGAGGAAAATAAATCTTTATAGGCTTCAATGCGCCTATCTTAGTGTTAAATTTATCCCACACGATCTCGCTTATCAAAATCGTACATATATTAATATCGGATAATTCTCTGAGTCTTAAGATCGATGGCAAAAAGGTCGCGTCGTAGTGTCTTATCTTATGACATTTATCGAATACCAGCACGATCGGACGTTTATCGTTGTGGGAAATCTTTTTAAGCGCGAGTATAAAATCCATAATATTGCCGCAGCTGTATTTCAATTGTGTATCTGCGCTCAATTCTCTCGTAGACGCGGCTAAATCGTCCAGGATATAATTATATATGTGTTTACTACCTAAATGTTCTATACAATTAACATAGCTGACGTTATACTTTAAGTGATTGAGTAGACTTTGGATAATTAACGTCTTTCCAGTAGCCATATGACCATAAACGAATATGCTTTCTGGCATTGGTTCGTCCACCCCGCCGATCAAGGAATACAGCCGTGCTATAATTTTCTCGCGGCATACAATGTTATCCTTTCGTGTCATCTTTTTTAAATATTTTTCCATGATTACGCCTTAAAATTACTCAAGAGATAAAACTAAGATACAATCAATTTGTAGCTTTTGTTGCTTATACCGTGTCACACTTATTTGAGAAAGGTAAACGACAGCTTTGGCAAAGCGCTCTTCTAATGGATTTATGATAATACTTAAACTTAGGCAAATCGCATGTATATTTTTATCGCTTCTATAACTTAAGCATATGTGTGTGCGCTAACCTGAGCCAAGAAGGTTATCAGCTCATCGAGACTTTTGTTAAATTGCGTGGGCTCCAAACGAAAGACTTCTAAAGTAGACTTGTAATGCTGATGTTGTTGAAGAAACTGTAAACAAACATATTACTTGAAACTTTTGAAATAACCACATGGTTATCCTTATTTATATGCAATTAACAAACAAGGATACACAGGAATGGCTCCTAGACTATATTAGTACAATATGCAGCAATATAAAATTATATTGTAACTAGTGACTCATAAATGTATGTTATTTATATACACGTACAATCGATAAGGTAGCCAATATGTCAACAAAGAAAGAATAAAATATAATTCGAAGATAAAAGGGTGAAGCATGGCTGCGAGTGAGACTGCTCAATTCATAGTTAGTGAGTCCCAGATTAGTCCCAACCCTCATCTCACGTATGCTTTGATTTTATATGAGAAGGCCTGTTCTTTTTAGCCTGAACTTGCATGAAAAGAAATGAAAAGAAAAAGAGGAAGATGAACCGTTCAAGCTCAGCTTGCTCAGCTAAAAAGAACAGGAATAGAGATTGATCGAAGAGTTGAAATAAAGGAGTATATGAAGCAAATGGCCGTTTCACAAACCTATATTCCATTTTTATATATGAAACATATAATGTAGAAAAATAAAACATACAGTAAAGATACAGAGCTTACCTCTTCTTTGTAAGACTCTGGATCACGTTTGATAAGATTCTGCAGTTGTGGAAGATTATCCGGTAATTGATTGTTGTGTCTTACCATGTTTAAAACCTATATGAATAAACGACTGTGATCATTACGGGAAATACGCAATGGATTTTAGCGAAATACGGAAACTAACGCGGGGAAAAAGCGTCTTACCGTGGAAATAAGAGCGAGCATGAAAATAATAATCGTCGTTATCGAGGTTGTTATCATACTTACGTTCTACGCGGCTTCGAAAATAATTGAGCCTTATAAATCGTTTTCGGTCCAGTTTCGCGGTGAAACACTGCAATCTTATCTCATACTCCGTATGTTAGATCAGCAAGTTTCTTAGGCTTTAACAATTTTCCTTATGTAAAATATCGTAACTTTAAATATCAAACACCGTTCTCTCATACTCCACGTGCAGGCACAGCGTGCAGCATGCAGGTGGAGAATTTGAGGAGGAGAATAAAGAAATACAAAGATAAGACAGTTGGTTGAATTTACAGAGTGCATTCAGTACTGCAATTGCTCACCGAGCGGCTAAGTAGCAATAGTGTGATTGGTTGGATCCAAAGGTAAAAACCAATCACATTCAATTGCTACTTAGCGGCTCAGGCTGCATCTCCATGAAAAAAAAATAGCGGAAGGGAAATAAAATGGAATTACTCTGATTGGCTAATATCAATGGGTGCGTTCAGCCGATACTCCGCTAGCCTAGCAATCGTGAGCAGTCGCTCGTTTTCTCTCCTTTTAATCCATTGGGTCAAAGGAGAGGAAACGAGCGAAAACGAGCGACTGCTCACGATTGCTAGGCTAGCGGAGTATCGGCTGAACGCACCCAATGGGCGCGTTCAGCAGAACGAACCGCTTAGTAGCAATCGAACGTGATTGGCTCTTACTTTTAAACCCAACAAATCAACGTAGCGTGTTGATAAGACAACACTCAACAGTTGTATCTGCTGAACGCGGCCAATATCCCATCTGGAAATTAGCCAATCAGAATAATTCCATTTTAATTCCGTTCCGCTTTTCCAGCAGCCAAGCTGTCAAGGTAGTCACGTGACAGGAGTGATGGCCAACGTGGTGGGCAATGGGCAGGAAACTGTCAGAATCTTGACGCTTATGACGCTGTCAACTTTTACGTCGAGTCCTACGCTTATCACTTGAGATATAAATATACTTGTATCTCGGTGACGCCTATATTAGCCACTAATCACAACGGTAAAATGTCACCACAAATATAAACATACGTTTAATGTGTATAATATATTTATGTTTTGTACGTTATACATGTTTACTTTTTTTTTCCGGTCCGTATACAATGAAATTCGCACAGCTCTCGGTACATCATTAGTTCGAGTTTGAAATTTTTCACCGTGAGTGTTCCAATATATAACAAAAGTCCGAGTTTACCATCGAGACACGCTTCGTTGGGCGGAAACAATGCCGAGCATCGAGTTTGGACAACGGAGCAGCGGCGGCATCGCGGCGTCGGAGGCACAAATGTTTTCAGAATTCGAATTTTTAGGTTAAGTATTATATAGTATATTTAGATTAAATGTTATTACATATTGATTATCTTTGTGCAAAACGTTTAAGTTGAAACACCGTGAATCAGTCCATCCTCGTTGTTTGCAAATGTTAAACAAGAATGAGATGATTCACTGTGTCATCCGTGTCGCTTGCTGGAAAACGCCCATTATAACATTACATGCAAGGAGTAAAATAAAATAAAATCTGAGCTCGCATTGTTGCAACAATTAGCCAGTAATTATCAGAATGTTCCTTTTGCAGAAGGAAGCAGTCAGTTTATTTCTGATGACCTTTTTCAATCATGGAGTTCCGAATTAGGGATACCTATCGTGCCAGAGGAAGATACAATCCTGGATTACGATAAAGATACGAATGAAGGGATGAAAGACATATTCGACTTATGGACCCCCTTTAAACAGCTCGACTTTGTTGGTGCACAAAGTAACTCAGGTACGTGTCAAAGTACCCAGCTTTTAAAATTTAATCAATTCTTTACCATCTGGATATTTTTTACAGGATTGGAAGAAATAGAGACACTAAATAAAATTAAGTTTGAACCTGAAAGCCCAGGTGCACTATTCCCATTATCGCCCAGTAGCCTCAATCATTCAGAATCTAGTGATTCAGATAGACAACTGAGATGTTCGATGCAAGAATTGTCAAACTGTGAGATCCAAAATCTAAAAACAGAGGTATATGCTGCAGCATGTGTGTAGTATCGACGAAAGATACAAAAGTCTGAGCCGTACTTAATAACTGAATTTTTTTTCTTTCAGTTTACTTTAGAGACGCCGTTAATTTCTTCTCCGCAATGCGTATCTCCATTATCGCAATCATCTCAATCGTCTTCAGGTACATCAAGCGTAATGCAACAAGTTAAATTCATACCTGTTAACGAGGAAGACATAGAGCCAACAAAGTACATTCTCACAAAAGCGGATTCTGCGAAACGCGCTCATGTCCAACCCATAAACATTGCACAACGTATAAAATATGGTAAAGATAGATTACTTTTTTGTGTAAATATAAAACGATTCTCTAGTAACATGTTATTATCAAAAAATTGTTACTATCTTGGAAATTACTTAATTTAAGTATTGAAAGGTTTACTCAGTATGTTTCTTTTTATCTCAAAGAAACAGTTTTTATCATTATGAACAATTGATTATTTTCAAAGTTATCAGTGAAGCTTGTAGTACTCAACGTATTTCATATTTATTGTTTTCAATAAACATAACTAGAGAATCATCTTTTATATGCATATATGTGAAGTATTCATATTTTTAATATCTACAGAAGAGCCTCAAAATACTATTTTCCTTCAAGACATCGCCACATTCGCACAGAATACAAATTCACAGCACGTATTGTATCCCTCAAAACTTCGGATATTACCGAATAAGCAGAAAAATTCATTGAATATCAGCACAAATGATAAAAAAACGAAAACTGGATCGTTTACATTACCGCAAAACGTAAAAATAATCAATACTGTATCAAACATTTGCCCAACAAATACTAACGAGTCAATAGACGCTTCTACTATTTTAAACAATGGATCTGTGAAATGTAACGACATAGTTGTTGCAAACAAAACCATGAGTTACACGCCATTTCAAGTAATGCGGAATAGAATAAACTCCAATTCATTAATTGTACAGAATGAAGCAATTGATCTCATAAATTCGCCAAAAAATAATCAGGAATATAAATTGAAAGCATTAAAAAGACAACAAAGAATGATAAAAAATAGAGAATCTGCTTGCCTCTCACGAAAGAAGAAAAAAGAATATGTATCTTCTTTGGAGAAACAAATATCTGAGTTGAAAGAAGAGAATAAACAACTAAAATCGGTAAACAGTCTATGCATGTGTAGATATATACATTACATTTTTATTAATTTGTAATAAAAAGTATAAATTAATTTTCAATATTACATTTTTTTAGGAAAATTCCGTCTTAAAACAGAGACTATCAAAAATGGAAAACAATATAATAGATAATAATAACGTACATAAATATTTAAGTTTTAAGCCTTTGAAAAAGAAAGCAAAGGAAGGCATGTACCTTTGTCTTGGTATAATTTTTCTGATATCTTTCAACATTAATGGTTTTAATGGTTTTAAGTAAGTACTACAATGCAATCTTTTTGAAGAAATAGGTTTTATTTTTTAGAGAGAGCTTAATTCATTTTTAACAAACGTAATTGTTTTATATTTTTACAATATCTCTATACAATAAAATCTGAATATATTAGATATCTATTATTTTTCATGACACATAAATAAAAGAAGAAAAGTTTTTTCTTAAAATTTGAAATGTTCTTTAAAGTCAATAGAAATATTTTGAGATTTTTTGAGTTAAGCAAATTATTGTATATTTTACACAGATTATGTTTTACACATGACACATAAAAATAAAACATCTTTTATTTCTGTTTAAGGGAACCGCTTTCACAAAATGTACATTTTAAAACTGAATCTGACAGTTTATCGATACCTATAGCAGAGGATAAACATAATAGAAGATTGTTCTGGTCGGTTGATGATAACAATATGGAAGATCAAATTGAAGAAAGTTTTAATAAAAGTGTACCGATACACCACCAACCAATATGTCCGATGTATATTAATCAGAGTGAGTCGATACGTTTAGATAGCGAGTTGAGACGCTGGATCGTTGGTGAATCTGATCGAGATAATCAGACTGCTCTAAAGAAAACGAAGTTACAAACAGATTCGTTAAATGTGTCGTTGTCAAGGTCGCCACTGGTAGAAAAAGCAAGAAGAAAAGTGTATTTATCACGAGATAGGAAAATAAAAACTATGCACAAAATGATCGATATTCCTACCGTTGCTCAATATCCAGATAATAACGCGATTGAAATCTTTTCTCCGATATTGAGTGAACATGCATCTTTATTTGAAGCTTTAGGAAGAAAAGACGATACATTTTATGTTGTCTGGTTTAGTGGCGAACATTTATTATTGCCGGCTTCCCGGAAAAATAACACAGCTAGACCTAAAATGTCTTTAGTTCTACCCACTGTGTCTATAAATGGTAAATAATGTTAATTTTATACGGATATACATACGACTGTGTAACAATACGTAGCAACAATACACAGTATTACAATAACGTCTTTCTCTTTCAGGTACGTTTTCGACGCCACCTAATCATATAACAATGATGCAAATTGATTGTGAAGTAACCAATACACAACTGCTACATTTACAACAGTCCATCATACCTGTCCATTTGCGAAACAGTAAACCTACGAGTCAATCAAATCAATCTAATTCTGTTGAGGATATAGACAATTCATCCACAGATAATACCACTAGAAATTATAAACCGTACTTTTTGAAAGAAACAAATCGAAAACAACGATATAGAAAGCACTTGCAATGATTATAAAGATTATAAAGATAAAGAAATTTTGTTAGAAATTTTGAGGTTTTATGTAGATAAAAATACTTAAATATGTAGTATAAGTATGTTCCTAGTCCTAATGCGAAAAATATAAGATATTAATGATATGCAATATAACGATAATATATCGTACTTGTTTATGCAATAATGCAATTATATTGTAATTATTATACTGTAGTTACACAATAATATATAATTATACTTCGAATCATAATGTATTTACACCATTCTCTTCACGATTAACTTTTTCAAACTTTTCTTATTTATCGTTTTTAGAAGAAATGTTATGAAATTTATCGAGAAAAATATAAATATATGATTGTTTTTACGTACTTATTATTTTATACATAGAGAAAAGTCCCCCCTTATGAGATAGGCTCGCGTAAACGTAGTAATAGTCACATATGGTACGTACATGTGAGCAGCAGAATAAGAAATAGAACAAAAGAGTCGTTTTGGAATAAAACATAGAATAAACATTCTTACAAGAAATTAAATTTTTATGGAAAGATATGAATTTATTCTTTATTCTTAGAGAATTGTTTGTAATAATAGCAAATTAATAACAATTAAGTATAGTTTGCATTAAATTGTTTTATTCCAAGTTAATTTGATCACTTATCTTTCCAATCTTTATTATAAAAAATTATATTATATGTAGAAATATATTTATACGCTGTAAATATAGCTTTTTTCTCAAATAATGTGCAGCAATGTTACTATAAAATCAATTTAACTTTATTATTGCATATTAATTATTATTTTTCTTCAAATTATATTATGCAATATGTGTATAATATAATAGTAGCGAAAATATATATATATATATATATATATTAAATATTTTTGCATGCTGTTCATATAGCAATGCAATTTAAGTCACATGCGTGCCAGTTCATCCATAAATAATGTGTTTAGAATCACTTCAAGTCTGGAGTAGAATTTCCCAGATAACATCGTAAATCCGTCAAGGTTGACTGAATTATTTTGGCTTTTATGGACATTTTACCTAATCGTTGATGGGCGGTATAACGATGACAGCCACCAAAAGAGTAATAATAGTCACCACCTAAACACAATATGATAATTTTTAATCGTCTCTCCTAGATCTACATGCTTCGCAACCGTCTAATCTCGTTTGTTTAAAAGTTTCAACATTATATTAGCACGATAAACAATAATTCATAAATTCAATAAGAATTATAACAACTATATACATTTCGCGCAACTACTTTGACAACTTATTCCCACCTTCGGTCCCTTTAATCCACAATACGTCGATGGGCGGTACCGTGTGCTCAGTCTCGACGTTTTTCAACGCGCCCATCAAACTTTCGACCTTTTCCTCGTTCACCACGGCGGGGAAAGGTCTGATAATTACGTCCATCGGAATGTCGTGCACCTCTGCGCGAGGACTCGAATGAATCGAGCTGGCTACTTGACACATACTCCTTCGTATCATTTTATATTACTTGACGCTTTAGACGATCTCGCGATGATCTCACACGTGGTCACGTGTAGTGTCACGTGTGCATTGATGATTGTGCAAATAAACGATCAATCTACGGAGACTTCATAAAATTATATTATTAATTTGCGCTCTCGAGAAAAAAACGGATTTATACTAAGCGATCGACTTTACTACTGCATCAGAAATTGAGGATGTTATATAACGAACAGGTTGAAAACACCCGCACTAACCGGTAACCGGTGGGAAAGCAACAAAAAAAGAAATCAGAAATTAGGCCTGTTCTGTTTAGCTGAACTTGTTGCACAGTTCATCTTTTCTCTTTTTTTCTCCAACGTGAAAAGAAAGAGAGGAAAGGTGAATCGTGTAAGACGTTCAGCTAAACTGAACAGGCCTATTTACATCATATGTATTATGTATATACATACTATACATGCACATGCACCGTGCACCGATAAGGTACCTCCAGCCTCCTCGTATGTATGTACCTCGGTGCTATACTATCGAATATCTCTTCTCGGTAATCTCGGTTACAAATCAATACAGATACCTACTATCAATATATAGATACGGTTATATCTCGCGCAAACTTTCAAAAATAAAGAAGAAGTATATACCCAAGAGAAATTATTTTGAAGAAATTTCAAACTAAATTAGAAAGCTATCATATACGTTTGTATATAATATCTGGTTTATTGTATTTTTTACTTCTAGATTAGGATTATATAAGATTGTAATAAGATTGTAAAATTAGGTTCATCTCAGTTTTTTTTACTCATCTTTTTTGTATTTACATATATATTTTCATAAAATAGAGAGAGAATATTGATTACATAATAATCCTTAATCAATTGCACTTTGTTTTTACATGATCCTATCAAAGCGCTTAAAAATAAAGATAACTCTAGTAACCGTAGAAAAGAACAAGAAGAGATCTTAAAAACGCGTTGCGAATTTCCAGCATCGACATAAATATGAGTTACAAAGAGTAATTACATTTATGTACAAAATCTATTTTTAAATTATATTTAATATAATTACATGTATTCCCTAGAGGAAAATTAATGTGTTTTTATACGACACTTGTACATGCTTATTCAGTCACATAATGAAGATACAAAAAAATCTGATACAACTGTATGTTTTTAAATAATGCAATTTATAAAAATTTATATTCTTTTAAGAACTCTTGTCTTTTTAATATTGTACAAAATTCCCAACAATAAATAAATCCACTTTATTTTTGCTCGCTCAATTATCAAACATAAATTATGCATTTATTGGGTACTGTAGCATCGTGAGAGAGCAATAATGAATAATGACATAGCGCATTAATACAAAACTAAACATATATAAACCGAAATCATTGAGCACTGTGGTAAATAACGTGAGTGATACTTTAAATATATAAATTAATCTAGGTTTGATATTGCACAGTATCAAAGCAGCAACTAATAGATTGCCGTCTTGTGCCTCGTATAATGTCGTACAGCTGTATAGACGTCCTACCGTCAGTAATAAAAAAGGTATAATAACTGTCTGTAAGTATTAACAATACATGTAATAAGTTATTGACATGGATATCACAATGAAATATAAAGTAAGATTATATATATATATATATATATACACAATATATGCATACCTTCCCAAATAAATTGTCATATTTCAGCACTAGAAAAATATTGACGATCCCAGCTAGCAGGACAAGATTGATACGATTGAGTAATAATGTATCTAATATAAATTTCGACTTAGATATTTGTCTTGGTGAATGTATATTTTTATCGCTGGTATCATTTAAAAAGCCTTCATAGCCTTCATGTTCGTCGTCGAATCTTGTACAATCTTGCGGTTTCGTATTGCCACTGATATTGCATATAAGACCGTTTCTGATATTGTCCTCCTCAAAATTCGATTCCGCTTTAAGACTGTCCCTTTCCACTCGTGGATTGTTATCTGCAAAACATTCTTAAACTGCATCTGTGCAAGTATCAAATATCTACATACATTACAAAGATATTGGTGAGGATAAATATTGTTCGTACAAAATATTTGAAGAAACCGCAGCAAAAATAGATAAAAAAAGTTTTCTTTCTATGCTATAACATGTTGCTGTGAAATGTTGTCCACGATATACCAGGATAGGGTGTTTTATTAACATTTAAGCTTAGAATGCTCATTGTCAAGGATTGAAACCAATGTAATTTTGGTGAGCCTAGATTAATCTAAAATTAAATTCAGCAAAATAATAATGGTTTGAATTCCTAGTTGATACATCAATGTTTTCTTTTTAGTTGCTATACGACGTAAGCATATGGCATCTTGTAACAGCTATTCCGAATTACGTTTGTCTCTTTCTACAACTTGACAAAATAATCCACATTGAGAAGACAAAAAGACAGATATGTAGATTAACATAGAATGCGGTATAATTGTTGGCAGAATGCTGTCAGAAACATAGTAAAGTTTATTAACAAAATAATGACGGCAGATTGATAACGGAAATCAAGCAGACTTTGATGTACCTGCTACATATAATGTAAAGTCTGTTTTCTATTGCTGAACGGGAGGGCTGCACTCGACAATAGAAAACAGACTCTTGATCTTTTTTACTCCACATTGGAAAGAAGAAAATAAACTCTGAACTAGTGCAGCCAGGGTGTGTTTATCAAGCTCTTCTGCGTTTAAAGTACCATTAAATTTTCGCAAAACTTGAATTGTGTATTTACTCTCGTGCGCCTCGTATTAAATCTAATTTCAAACATGTTCCTGCTTCGACGTGTTGGTTATATTTACCCTTGATTTCGCCCGGACTGATTCTCCCTGTAATTTTGCGTAGACGACTTTCTGAGTTTTCTAATATTCGTCGCCTCCTCGCTTCCCTCCTGGCGTCGGTCTCGGCCATCGTCGTGTTTAACAATTAAATTGAGTAGTTTAAATACGCGTACGACAGCTAATACGCGAGTCCACGGTCCACGTGAGCTTTTTGCAACATGTACCACATATATCAAACCTACCAAACTGCGCGTCAATCGAGGAGGTTAGCGAAGCAAGGCATTTGTTCACGATACGAATGATGTGGAAGTGAAAACATGTTTTTGCTGTTCTTCTTTTTCTCCTTCTTCTTGATAGTAGATCTATTCTGTCAATATCAGATATTTGCAAGATCAAAAGATGATTTGAGGTTAGGTTGAATTGACTATTCACCTTCTCAGCCTATCAGCGTTTTTACTTGAGCGATTTGCGAACAAGATGAATTCTCATGACCAAAATTTTATTTGAAATGTGTATTCCAATGATTTCGAGTAGAGATTTTGCTCGAGACTCGTGTAGATTTGTCGTGGAAACTCAGAGATGTTTGCTCAGCATTTATTTAATGTTTTTCTAAAATATATTTCTAATTAACAACGGGCAATATCATGTATATTTAATTTCATTTAACACGTGCTCAGATGTATGTATATACATATCGCTGTATGCATCATCTTCGTCTACGTACGGTTTAAAAATATGAAACATTCAAAACACAGAACTAAAAAATAGGCAATAAGTATCAGAACGATTTAGATCCAACTCTAATTAATTTAATCGCCGCTCTGCATCGTTCTATTAATTATTTGGATAGAATGGCATTAATTTTTTTGTCATCCATTGACACGAAGAAAAACTCAATTAGGGACAATAATTAATGAATGGAACAGAAATTTTGCCGCAAGAAATTCCGCCAGTTGGATTGATTTCTGATTAAGTTAATTGAAGTTTCATCAGAGTCATTTTTATATTAAACTAGAGAAAAAAATAGATATTTTTTTTTGTCTTTGTGTTGCACAAAATATATAAACGCAACGCATTTGACTTGATACCGCTCAATTTCAAATGTGAAGCATAATATGTGACACTATATACTCCAATACAATCAAATCTCCCTATTCTTATCTTGGATCAAACAATTTCTCTATCCTTAATCTTATCTTCTGTCTTTAATTCGCTTGTCATTCCACGCGCGGTCATGTAATCGAGCAACAGACGTGAAATAGAAGCAACGCAGGAAATAGTGTTAAGGATACGAAAATTCAGATCGTGAAGAATATAAAGGAGATAAGAACAAATGTTTCAAACGGGAAAGTTCGACTGTATTGTGTCAATTTGATTGATCACGTTTGTTTTCTGGACGCTCTCTTCAAATAAACTGCACCTATTCTGTCTATCAAACGCAATGAGCACATGTGTAGAACCAAGAAATTACAAAATAAAAATAAGCTAGAAATAAGAAGTTAATTTCAATATATGAAAAACGCTTCTCAGCTCACAAAAAAAAAGAAATAAAGAATTGAGCTATAGTACAGTTTTTCCACATGTTGAATCTTTTATTCCATGTACACATTTATGTCCCTTCTTAAAATAGAGAAATTCGACTATGATGTTATAGATGTGAGAGCGCTGTGATATTTTGATTTCATGCTTTTCGAATATAAGTGGAGATCTCAAGGAAGAAACCCGAAATAGGTTTGTTCAATTCCGAATCAAAATTAGGAAAGTTGAATGTAAACCACGTAACATATGGATATGGATGGTGATAAGGATGATATTGATATTATCTAAACTGAAAAAATATTGTGATTATATATTATAAGAAAGTATATTATATAAGAAAGTATACAAAGAAAAGTATATTATAGTTTTTAGTTACTATATGGAGCATGATAAGTATTTATAATTCACAAACATATTATAAAATTGTACATACGCATATGAAAAAGAAGAAATAGTAAGATGAAAAATAACTCATGTTATTTCAAGATTCACAATCCTTAATGATGTAAATATAATGAACATACAAATTGTACATACGCATTTGAAAAAGAAGAAATAGTAAGATGAAAAATAACTCATATTATTTCAAGATAAATTTCACAATCATTAATGATGATGTAAATATAATGAACATACAATATACAATATATAAAATATTGACAGTATAAACCATCATATGCATCTGCTGCTGCCATCATCATAATAGTCACCTCATTTGGGTTAGTATAATTTCTATAAAAAGCAAGAGGAAATATAAGCTCGTTAGTATAAGCACCTAAAAAAATGAAACTTAAAGTATTGATATTTGATGTTAATTTCTATATATTATGTGCAAAGGACTTATTATAACTATTTAACATAATAATCAAGGAATATTTTACACAGAAATGACGGTTACATAAATTTATTACGGAAATAAAATATATTATATTGTACGTTACAAAGTGTGCATAATGTATAAAAATAAAATACAAGTTAGGTATCTAATAGGTTTCGGTATACAGGAACGGTGCTTACTTATACATAAGATCAAAAACGCAAAATACTGATATCAGAATACCAACTATGCCAATAAATATGTAGTCTCTTACCGTCTTCCAGTTTTCACTAATCTCTTTTAGAACTGTCAAAACTCTTTTCCACGTAGAGACAAAATATGTATATATCTGTGTACGTATATGTGTATCATGAGGTTGTATAGTTGTCTTTTTAACATCGTTTATCGATGTATCCATTGCCGTATTCCGTTTCATCGCAGTTTGTAAAGCACGTTTGCTAACGTAAAGTTCCAAGCCATCTGCAGACCCGTGTCGTTGATCTAAATAGAACGTAAATGTTTTATTATTTAACAGCATAACTATAATTTAACTACATATAAATATAATCTTTTCTAGTTAATGCAATCTTCTTATTACCAATGTTAGTATCAGGATCATTTCCAAATGTACACTGTGCGGTATCAGTGCCCCAACCTATTTTAATATTCTCTTTGTTTTTTATTCTAATATTAGAGAAATTTGCAGCAACGGACTCAGCGATGGGGATACTACATTGGTTGGGGCACTCCGAATCCTATTTTTCACGTTTACGAGTCTCGAGTTCACGTTTAACATTGGATTTTACAAAATTATAATGACCTGCTTTAATCATATCTTCCTCCCATTTTTTCATCTCAATCTTATATTTTTCTAATAAATCTTTTGCTTCTGCGTTATACTTATTTTTATCTTCCGTCGTCATATTTCTCCATTCTTCAGTCACATTATTTATCCAATCCTAGAAATATGTAGAAAGAATAAGTTATTTAAAACATCCTTAAAAATAATCTCGAAAATTTTAGATACCTATCTTGTCAGATACATATTTTTATGTGTAAAAAAAATGTGCAAAAACAGAAATATATCTAAAAAAAATTATGTTAAAATAAGGCACAGACTTAGAAGTCATGTAATTAACTTACTTTGTATAGTTCTTGTGGCTTTTTGGTAATTCTTTTATTTTGCAAGAATAACATGAAGGCAGATAATGGTCGTTTTGGTTTTCCAAGTTCTGTAAGTTTCTGCCAAAAAATGAGAATGTGTCGCATAATTTGGAAATATTTGTATATACGTATAAGTAATAAACATTATTCTAATATAAATACTTGTTTAACTTCGCCCTTGTTCAAAGCATATCCTTTCTTCAATAATTCTTGTACTATTTCCATCTTCTGTTCATCAGTTAAAGAATTCTCATAATCCTTTAATTTTTGCTTGTACACAGAACTTTGATCAAAATATTGCTTCTGAAAATCCTGCTTCTTCGTTGGGTCAATTTCCGCCCATTTCTCTGACGCCTTTTTCATGAGTTCTTTCGATTTATAATCGGGATACTCTTTTTGCAACTCATTTCTCACAGCGTTATAATATAACAGAAATACATTCGGAGGTTTTTTTGGTTTTAGTGGTAAGGAATCTTTTTCTATCCCGTGTTTCGATTCAGATGTAGTAAAATCTTGTGCAGAAGCAAATTCCCTGATAAAAAATTTTAGAATTTTATTCATTGTAATTTCCAAGATATCAAGTAGTTTTTTACATTGTATTTTATTTATTTACATACAACTTGAAAATATATAGACAAAGTTGAAAAATATTACACAAATGTGTTTTATCTGTTAATATTATATATTTTTCATGTATATTAATCTATCAAAATGTACTGTGGGGTCTTGACCTAACTACAAAAATTAAATTATCACGTGGTAATCTCCATATAATTATAAATCGCTATAACGATTTCCATGCTACCGGAAAAGTTTTGCTTGTTCTCATTTCATGAAATATTATAAATATATTGTCCCCGTAATTTATAAACATTTAAAAATTGTTATACAGATTTAGATTACCGATTATGGAAAAGAGAAATAATTTTCTTTACCTAATACAAAAGAAATTTAGCGGATTAAGCTGTTTCCTATTAAGAGGAAACAGTAACCTGCAGGTTGCCGTAATCATGGTACACGTGATTTCGGTCAGACAATCAGGCAATCTGAAACAACTTCGAACGACTCTTCCAGAGATACTTATTTCAATATTTCGCCAAGAAACGGATCAGAAGTGGTTAGAACACGAGACCAAACGAAATTTAACGAGGTTAAGGTTTTCTCCTTAAATTTCGGTCTACAATAGGTGTTTCCCATAGATTGGGAATAGAAAGATAGAGCCCTGGGGCCCGTTCCGATTCTCTAACGAGAAACGTATGCGCAAACTCTGTTCTAACAGAAAGGCTGCAAATTGATTGGCTATCGCACAGTTTTTAGCCAATAAGCTTGCAGCTTTTCTGTTAGAGCAGAGTTTACGCATACGTTTGTCGTTAGAAAACTGGCTCCTCTGAAGATCGATTGGTTCTTGAAACGAGGTGAAAATTATAAAAGTGAACAGATTTACTAGATTTCGACCAATAAAATCATAGATACCCTATAGTGACAAAAGGCGATAGCGACAGCGATAGAGTTGCCGACAAAGCAGAGAGAAGAATGATGCTCCGAGCGACAAGGTTGCCGACAAAGCTATACCTTTGTCGGCAACTTTGTAGCTGTCGCTATCGCTATCGCTATCGCCTATTGTGCAAGGGGCTTTAGGCTGAGTTTCCACTGAGCGCGTCACGCGTCACGTCGTCACAAGTTAACCAATCAAAACATCCCATTTTATTACATTCTTGTGACGGGATCGAAATAGGATGTTTTGATTGGTTCAACTCGGACGACGCGATGCGTGACGCGCTGAGTGGAAACTCAGCCTTAAGGCTATTTTACAATTGCATAAACGTAGGGTTGTAGGAATAGGAGTAAGAAATTGACCAATCACAGTCGAATTTGAGGAGAATAATCGACTGTGGATTGGTCAATTTCTTACTCCTACTCCTACAACTCTACGTTTACGCAATTGTAGAATAGCCTTTACACTCGCGTAAACGTAGTATTTTACTACGCGGAGTAAATTATCGTAAATTACTACAAAATCCCGTTCACGCGAAGAAAAATCCCGTTTATGCGAAGAAATTATCGTAAGTTACTACAGAAGTAACGCTCGCGTAAACGTAGTAGTTGTTCCTCATATTTTTCATTGTGCGGAGGCCTTTTCTCTAATATCTCACTAATCATACGATAAATTAACTCGTAGATAAATTCTTCAAGCATATTGGCCGCGAGATAGAGAATTTCTGGATACCCGAGAACCTCTCTATTCTACAGCCAATCAACATGCTTGGCAACAAACTTTGTCAACACAAAGGGAAGGGGAGGTCCGGTCAGTCCGGTGACTTGATTGTCAGTTGGAATATGGCGAACCTGTTAAGTGTTACGTGAAAGTTTTGACAAAATATTAAGTGAATCGTTCCTATTATCTTGGACGCTTTAGAAAATATTAGTGCTAATTATGAGCTAATATCCGGAGCTATGCCTATTTTGGAACTCATAAATATTCGAATCCATTATCTCTTGCACAGTTTTTCGCAGTAAGATTTAAAATTCCCATCAGCTTCTCTCAAGATGCACAAAGCTTGAATAGTTATTGTAAAAATCTTCAGCTACTCCATTCTATTGAAGAGCCCATCTCCTTTGTAGCCTATTTACAATTTTGCTTCACGAGTTTTGAAATTGGCTTACTGTCGCACTGGTGACAGAACCAGACGATTTTCTTCAATCGCTGTGCGAAGACTCAACAACAACATTCCGGTCGGAATCTTCCGCTTGCCTGCAAAGTTTTAACGGTAAGTATTTCTTTTCTTCAAATGGATGAAGTACGCCAAAATGGCTTACAAAGCCATTCCCAAGAGAAGACCAGTTTCATTTTCTGGAAAACTTAATCTTGTTTACTCTAACATTATGATATTATAGGCTGTGTTCTCCAACATTTACTGCTAGCGTTGAGAATTTAGTTTATGTTACTACAGATTTTCAGTATTGGCAGTGAATAAGAGAAAAATTAATTGAGAAAAAAGAGTGATAAAAAAGAAAATAAGTAATACTTTTATGCTGTATAAGTATGTGATAAAATAAAGAGAAAGTAAATGTGTGGTATGTAATCTTATTATCATATTTTGTACATTAAACATGTAACTAGATGATTCATATATTTTATGCAATTATGCAAATTTGTGTAGAAAAACTTTAATGCAACTGCTAATTTTTAAATGCACCATTGAACTCAAAGTAAAGAAATCTTATTTTGCATACATTTATAAATCCCTATATAAATATCAAGCTTGGATATTCTTGTATTTTCTATATAACTTTATACTGTAATCGAAAAGTCCAGCTTTATTCCGAATGTACCGTTTCCGAGATGATGTGTTTATTTTAAATTGTTAAAGACGTGTAAGTTCAGAATTTTTTGTCAGAATCACAATTTATATATATATTGAATATAAAAATGCTTAACCATAAAATTTAGTTTGTTATTAACTGTAGAATAAAGAAGATGACGAGAAATATTTCCTGCATTAATTAAAATCTGATTTTTTGATAATAAATTTAATATATTTCAGCAGTACTTTTTGCTTAGTATTTCCGACAATGAATCCAATACGTTCGACAACTTTCCGCGGCGATGAGGAGTCAAGATCAACACGTAGTGAAGATCACAATACTTATTCAGTTTTACGTTCAAGAACTGAAGACGAAAAGCAGAGACGTAGACGAGAATGGCAACGCCAGCAAGAACGAGAGAGACAACATGAAAAATTGAAACAGCAAAAGATTTTAGAATATGAAAGGAAACGTGCGCAAGCTTTAAAATATGCTGAGGGAAAATCCTCGCGTCATAGTCGAAGCAAAAGCGGTAGTGAGTCTCCCTCGCATCTTCGGTATAGAGGTAGATCTACGTCAACTGCTTCCAAATCTGGTAGTTTGCATGAAAAGTGAGTTTGCAACATACATATAACTATATGCCCCTATATCTTTATTTTGACTTGATAGAGATAAGGTGATCAAAACTTTCAAATATCTGACAAAGATATTTTAATAAAATAAATTAGTATAAAACAATTTATTGATAGAGAAAATTGCTTATGAGTTAAGATATGTAAATAAATTCAGCTTAGCTTGTTAGTAGGGCTCGTTAATAGAAAACTATAATTTCAATGCCAGATCAGAATAAGGCGCAAGATGTACAGAGATAAATGTATGTTTTTTTTTTACTTTTATTTTTTTTAATTGTCTCACTATATTCATTATGTAAATATAGAATACAGAAATAGGACTATTTTCCTGGAATATTATATCTGGTTATTTTAATACACAAAGAGTATAAGAATTACGATTAATTTAAAATATTATGATTGAATTCTCTTCAGATTAGATGAGCCTACAAGTGGAACAGTACCTTTGTTTAGAGGTCCTCAGAATGCACAGCTTAATACTATGGAACTACGTCGAATTAAAGTTGATATTCACAGGAATATTCCTGTACAAGGACCTGTTCCCGAATTACAGCGAGATATACTTAATCCTGAAGATGTGATCGTCAAGAGAAGAGAGGGTAAAATGTTACATTTTTCTAAAATCTTTGTTTCTCTAAATCCTTATTCTTTCCAGAAACTTAATTATTATCTAGTATTGCAATGAGTGCTGGAAGAGTTGTATTACAATCAAAACATTGGCAGTAGTTTACAATAATATGTCTATTATACCAATAGCACAAAAGTTTTGTTATATTGGCACTAGGTTGATGCATCATAGGTTTATTCCTTACATCTATGAAGAGTTTATTATAAAGAGTCGATATAGAAAGCTCCATGAAGATAACATCGAGCAAGAGAAATATTTGTAATAATGAATAACATTTGCAAATCTAGTTTAAGAAATTTTTCAACATGGGAAGAGTGCTT